TTGGTAGTTTCATGAGTTCACGTGAGTGTTAACATTTTTTCAGTGATGCAGGTAAAGTAATGGTTGACTCAAACAGAATCCACACTTCAGAAAAATCTTTACTTTTCTTGTCCAAAAAGAAATCCCTACCCCTTATTCCCATCTGTTTTCCTCTCTTGCCTTTCATGTTTCTCCTTGGCTCCTTTCTTAACTGTGCCGATTTTCCCCAGTAAGTCCTGGGCAGGGCACCTGTGTGAACTGGGAAAGTTTCTCAGGAAAGGCTGGCGTGTGGCCAAAGAACCGGCCCAGGGTTGGAAAGAAATCAGCCTGGAGAAATATGCTGAAAATTACAGCTTCCCGCCCCCATGCGGGCCGCCAGGCCTGTTGGTGCTGATGAGAGAAACAGAGAGCGCAGGCAGCGAAACTTTTGCGGGCTCTGAAGCCAGCACTGGGTTAATGCCCGGAGCCCCTTGCGAAGCTGAGTCCGTCCAATGGTGGTGTTTGTGGAAGAGAAATCTGTGGATACGTGAGTGAGAACCAACACAAATCCAGTCCTGGAGACCTAGAAAAAATCTACCTTGGCAACGTTAGGAGGCAAACGTATCTACATTGTATGGCTTTCACTCTGTTCTTTTCTAAATCCAGAGAGCAAATTACCAGTTGTGGTTTGTTTTGTTTTGTTTTGTTTTGAATACAAATACTTTAGGTGAATTAAAAGAAATCAAGCAAGATATCTCCAGCCTTCGTTATGAACTTTTGGAGGACAAAAGCCAAGCGACCGAGGAACTAGCCATTCTAATTCACAAGCTCAGCGAGAAGCCGGCCCCTGCGCTCAGCGGTGTGAATGACTCGGACCCCGGAGGGCAGCTTTGACCAGAGCACAAATGTGGGCGATAATGTTTCTAAGTGTGAAGTACTTGAAAAACCATGGTGTCAATTTTTAGAACTAACTACCTTTATCATGTGAATCTTTAAAAGTTAGGTATTAAGGATTTTACCATTTCATCACATGCGAATGGTCTTCATTTGAATTGTCTGCCTTGACATCATGAACAATTACAAGCCATTGCATTTAAAGGCCCAATTACTGCCATTTTTGTCCCTTTGAGAATGACCTGTACGACATCTTTGCACTATCTGTTTGCCTCCAAGCGACTGTGAGGAAGCTCCTTGGGGACAGGGACCACATCTTGTTCATCTTTGCGTCTCCAGCATCTAGAACAGTGCCTGGTACAAAGTAGGTGCTCAGTAAATGTTGTTGAAACCAACTGAACTGAACTGCCAACTAAATACAAATACAAATACAAATAAAAAGGCCATCACTATGTAGCACACCCTCTCTTTTGTCCAAGCGCTGAAGAGATTTTTTTAAAAATAGAGACCGAAGACATTTTACAAGCAGTAAAGTCTTGGTCAGATTTTCTTAGAATTTTTGGCATCACTGATAGTCCTAGAACCTTTCAGTCCCAAAGGAAGGATTTAACAATGAAATGGGTTAATAGAAAATATAATTATGTTACATATTTAAGTTTCATAGCATTGTTCAAAGTGACACATTAAAGATTTTTCTAAAGTATATAGTGTTTGTTTTCTGTCTTAGGTTTTCGTATGTCATTTTTCAGTCATGTGACTTTAATCAGTGGGATGGGGACTTTTTATAAGGGGGCTCTGCACAGTTATTTTATTATAACCCCCCGATTTCTGCCTCTGATGCTTTATTGCTAAATAAGGTATCAACAGCTGACTTCCTGTCTTGCCCATTTGCTCCTTCCTGTTTTGGGGGGCACGCTCCTGGGCAGAACCAGGGCAGAGCAGTGGCGGGGCACCTGGAGAGGTGTGTCCACGCATGGCCAGGTGGGACCCACTTCCCTTTGACACCTGTCATGGCCCTGGCTTCCGATGATCAACATCCTTTTTCTGCTCAAAGCATTTCAGTTACACTCTCTATGCAAAACAGATTGCAATGTGTCTGTATTTGAATTACCATGTAACTGAGCTGAAGGCCGGTAATGGCTACGATGCCTCATGACTTTAATAGGAAAGGGGACACAGGCCAGTAGGTTCCCTTGCCTCATAGAACACTCAAAGTACTAAAAAAAATAAATCCAGGTAGGTTTAAATGTCTGATAGAGTAATGCTTAACATCCTGGTTCTCTATTCCTGTCAAGTCTTAGAGGAATACGAATTGTGATCATACCTCAAAGATAGTTTCATAGGCCCTAAACACCAATTAAATACATGATGCTTTAAACAATCATTACTTTCACACAGCAAGCTTTCTAGACATGAAGACAAAAATGAACGTTAAGTGGAACTACATAATGCTCTTTCAAGGCAATTTCTTAACTTCTACGTCTTGGGGCTTAAAACAATTAAAATTAAGAAGAGAACTTTATACATTTTTGCTACCATTGTAGACTATTTAATTACCTTTTGTGCTATTCTAATAGTACTTTGTCTTAAAGGTTTTTCAAACTTTATGTATTTTATGTTATGCCTCAGAACTGAATAAAACATTGAATTTTTTCATTGTCATATGTTACTCTAGCATATGAACACAGTAAAGATACAGAGTTTGCATAAGGACAGTACTCTCAGCCCGGCAGTGTTGTCTAGGGTTCCGAGTGTGGGCATTTTTGAATGGGACATTGAGTAATATTCCTGACTGGGAGTTGGGGAAATGTTGAGCGGAAACGTGTCAGATTCCACTGGAGGCACTCAGCCTCGGACCCTTGGAGTCTTGAATAAGATGAAGCGCACAGCCTGTGTTCAAGTCCGTGCCTCCCACAAGTGCAGAGCACTCAACGCAGGTCGCACATGCTCTCCTCCGTCCCGGGCCGCGTTGTACCCTCCCCCAAACCCCGAGGTTGAAGTCCTGCCCCAGGGGCTCAGAATGTCACTGTATTTGGAGATGCGGCTTTAAAGAGATAATTAAATTAGAGTGGGTCTTAATCTGATACGACAGGTGTCCTTATCAGGAGACGAGGACATAGACAGAAGACCAGGTGAGGACACAGGGTGAAGATGGTCAAGGAGAGATGCCTCAGGCAATTGGTTTGGTTCCCTTCTGACACCTTGATGGTGTACTGCTAACTAGAGAGATCCTGTAAGAAAATGAATTTCTGCTGTTTAAGCCACCCAGCTTGTGGGACTTTGTTATGGTGGCCCTCTCTTTTCAATGTGCATTCAAACCCCCTAAATTCTATAAAATTCTGTACAATTCTGTGTTGGTATCTCCTCACGGAGATTTTTCAACTTCTAAAATTTATCTGTGTTTTTGTTGAGCCTAAATTAATATATATTTTTGAAATCGCTACACGGCTAACCCATCTCAAGGCATTATTTTAATATGGTTATTTTAGTCTCAGAAAAAGAATTGTCTGGAACAACTTGGAACCTAGGCAAAACCTCATATCCTTCTGTTGGAAATAATGTGTCTTCCCAAGAAGCAACTCTTTTCACGGGTTTAATTCTTGATTCACAATCATTTGTGAACTCTTCTTTCGTGGACCCCATAAACCAGGAAAGAGACAGTATCCTGTTCACCTACGGTATTTCTGCAGGCAGAGCACACTGCGTGCACAATGGAGGGACTGATGGATAGGAATCAAGGAATGTCAGCTCCGGGTCAGATCCTGGGTCACCACAGGTCAGAGTGGTCTGTGGGTCCCTGAGGCCTCTTCAGGGGTCCTGTGATTTTGAAACTACGCATTTTCATGACACAAACATTATTCGCCTACAAAAGCCATGCAGGTGAATGCTGCTGGTACTCAAGCATGAATCCAAGCAATGGCTTTAAACTGGAGCACTAGTCTCTAGCCTTCATGCCACATTGGCAGGAAACGAAAGTTCTATATAAAAACATTCATTATGAAGCAGTTAAAACTGTTCATTTTAAGTCTTCACTGTTGAGTGTATTTTTAAATATTCTGGGTGATGATATGGTGAGTGTGTACAAAGCGTTTCCACTAAATGCCGAGGTGCACTCGTCTCAAGGAAAAGCAGGGGTGTGTTGTTACTTGGGCTGCCAGCTGAACTCATTGTGTTTTTTCCTGGAACACTTGTCTCTTTTGAAAGCACAACTGACAAATCATGCTTACTCAGACTTGGCTATTTGTCTGGCATGCCCTTTCTTATGAACTGAAGAAGGGAACATATTTCAAGGAAAACTATTGACATTTGTTGCCAAAGCTTAAAATTTGAGCCTTTGCTCACAAAGTAGAGTTTTGCAAAATGTGTATCTACCGTCTGAGATTAACAGCTTCCCAATACTTAAAATCTGTTCCGATGAAATCCGTGGTGATATTCACAAATGGGACTTTGGGATGTTGTATGATGAAGCCACATTCCACATTGCCACCAACCTTTCAAAAACTACACCCGTTGAGTTTGGACCACATTTCCTTCATATACTTCAAAACAATTCACACATACACCAATAGACTGAATGTAGAAGTAGACCTGGGAATCCCTTATTTACTATCCCGGTCGGCAGTGAATCGATTTGCACAGAACGCTAGTCTTTTTACGTTTTTTATTTAAAAAAATAGTTATTTTTCATTGAAATAGTTATGTGGTGATTTTAAGATATATTTTTAAAATTTCAGTTATAATTTCTAATATGGTAAATAGCAATAGATAACTCATAGAAACAAAAGGTCTGTGGGTTCCTCAAAAGTTTCTAAGAATATTATAAAGGTGTCCTAAGGCCAAAAGTTGGAGAACTGCTGCCAAAAGCTGACGCCTATAACGGTGGAACTTCATTCCTTGCGGGATCCCTTTGCAATGTCAGAGAACTAGGTACGAACGTACCCGTCTTCACCTCGATCCTTTCCATTCAAGACGACTTAGACGTACGGCTCAGGGCGGCGGTGCGCGTGGAGCCAAGACTGCGTCTCCGCTCCCCATGGAAACCACCCTACTGGCGCTCAGTTCCTCTCCGCCTCTGATTGGAGCAACTCGACAGGGGGCCGGGCTTTCCTTTCCTCCGCGGCCCTCTCGCGGGAACGTATGACGTCACGCCGGACGCCGCTGCCCCGAGGCCTCACGTTTGCCTCGCCGCCGAGGCCGCTGGAGCTAGGGTCGCCCCTGAGAGAGGGCGACAGCTGTGTCCCCTCCGAGGCCCGGGGTCCGGCAGCCTCTGTGCGTCCCGGCCCGGCGCTGCCTGGCGCGTCCTGGCTGCCGGCATGGAACTGCATTTGCACCGAGCGGATTATTTACAGGTAAGCCCGAGGGGGCGGGGCGGGCCCGGCTACCCGCGGGGATGCGGTCGGTGCTCCCACTGACGTTGTGCGGTCGCGGGAAATGGGGGCCGGCGGCGACCTGCAGGGCCGGGAGCGGCCCCTCGGGTCGCCTTCCCCCCGGGCAGCTCCGGCTCTCCCGTGACGGCCCACGGGAACTTGGAAGGAAGCTGGCGCCTCGGGCCCCGCCGCGACCCCGCTTCCCTCTGACCCCGAACCCCCTTCCCTCCTCAGCCCCTCTCGCAGCGCCCCTTATTTTGTACTGTACGCGGGACCCCACCGGCCAGACCGCCGTCAATGCAACAACGTCCACAACACCTAAATCCCCATGAAAGTCCTCGAAGTAGGCCCCTTGACCGATGAGGACCCAGGGGCTCGGAGGACGCAGTTGCTATAGAAACCGCCTCCGCCCGCGGAGCAGGCGCAGCTTGGGACCCGGCGCCCCGCCCCTCTGCTCCCTGCGCGGGCCCCAGCCGCTCGCGTTCCGCCTCCGGGCGGGCCACCGGGATGCGCGCTGGCGGGCCGGCTGCCCCCACGCCCAGGAGTCTCGCGGAGCACTCCCCCGCCCCCACCTTGCTGGCGCCAGGCTCCCGCTGCTGGCCGCATCCTTCCGCGCTCTCCTCACCCTCCGTTACCCGCCCTTACGTGGATCCAGGAATCAGCTCCCAGCCTCCCGCGGCGCCTCCCTCCAGGCCCTCCTTCCCGCCCCAGGCTAGATCAGTGTTTCAAAATGCAAATCCACATACAGCCTTTTACACTATAACGCCCCCGCGTAGAGAATAACAGAGAGAGGACCACACTGGATGTGAGTTCTTCCCTGATGGGCTGTTTTCTCCAGCTCGTCCGTAGCCATCTGTGCAGGGCTGTTTTTATCTCCCGCACCTTCTGTAAAATCATCTTCAGCTTCAGTTTTATTGGACGTCATTGCCATCAGGATGTTTGGTGTTTTAGGAAAAATCTGTTGCATTTTTAATAATTACTCTGTTTCCAAAGATGTTTAAATCACTTTATAACACCTCTCTCTCTCTAACAACTGCATGAACTAATAAAAGGCTTCTAGAAATATATTTTCATGAAATATCTTGTCAGTAATGTCAGTTTTTGGGGGGGGGGGGGCTTGACAACATAAATTTTGATAAGCGGAAATTTTACTCTTTGGGGTTGTTTCCTGTCTTCTGATGTTTGCAGCTTGTTTCATTAGGTAAGTTCGTCGCTGGTAACAATGAAAAATAACACTGCGATCTGACTCTGCTGATCTCTGAGGCAGTGACTCAGATCACAGATGGCCGATGGCACCCACTGGGCACTGCTGTGTTCCCTTAGGTGGGAGTCACCTCTCAGAAGACCATGAAGCTGCTTCCGGCTGCAAGACACAGAGCGGCGCAAAAGGTACTGTAGACACCCGGCTCTGCCCGTCCCCTTAGCTCTGACACAGGCCGGGGTTGCGGGTCCTTCGTCAGGGGTAAGTTCCTCCTTTCAGCATGGAAATGAATTTATTCATTTGATAATTTGAACAGCGGTTGAGATACCAAGGAATGTTTACAAATGGTAGTTTTTTGGACATTATTATAGACAGTAAATAATATAAGCAAACTTAATTAAAACTATATTCCATTTTTCTGGAAATAATTTACCCTGTGTGTGCTCTTGTGCCCCAGATTGTGTATATGAAACAAATGTAAAACACAATTGAATATAGAGAAAAATGCTCCTTTGAAACCTTATATTTTCAAGAGCAATTAAGTATTTTAATGTTAAATTTTATATTTAACGATATTGACTTTTATGGATATATTGATCTTATTAGACAAGACAATTAAAATGTCCCCAAGACAATCATAATTTCTTGGGAGACTACTAGGATGTTTCAATAGCTACAAAGTAAATACAGTATCCTGATATATCAACATTTGTCAAGATAAGTCAATAGATTTCTGATCGTCATTTGTTATATTCAGTCCACTAGATCAGCACATCTCAAACGTTTAGGTCTTAGGACCCTTTTACTATCCTAAATTATTGAGGATCCCAAAGAACTTCTGTTTATGTAATTATTTCTGTCATAAATATAAATACTTACTGTATTAAAATTCAAACTAAGAAATTAAAATATTTATTACTCTTTTTTTAAAAATTTTATTTATTTATATTTAGAGAGAGGGGAAAGGAAGGAGAAAGAGAGGGAGAGAAACATAAATGTGTGGTTGCCTGTCGCTTGCCCCCTACTGGGGACTTGGCCTGCAACCCAGGCATGTGCCCCAACTGGGAATGGAACCAGCGACCCTTTGCTCCGCAGTCCAGCACTCAATCCATGGTGCCACACCATCCAGGGCTATCACTATTTAAAAAATAATAAACCTACTACATGTTTATGTAAATAACATTTTAATGAAAAATACTATTTTCAAAAACAAAATTTAGTGAGAATAGTGACATCGTGTTACATTTTGCAAACTATTTCATCTGGCATAAGCAACAGTAGTTGGATTCTCTTATCTGTTTTCCTGTCATTTTGCTGTGATGTGTTGTTTTAGTTCAAGTACATGACAGAGATCTAGCTTACACAGATACGTAGTTGAAAATAGGGAGGAATATTTAACTGCCTTTTTATAGAAAATTATCACTCTTCATATTTGAGGCTATACCTACATTTGACAAATAGTGGTCCCTTAAACATTAGGTACAAAGTGGAATCTCAAACCATATTGATTGATTTTTCATATTTTGATCCTTAAAATCCATTGGTTCATCTTGTATTTTGAATGGATCTTTTACTCATGCATGAATTTATAACATCCTTAACCGTTATTTGAGATTATTGTCCCTCCGAGTTACACAAATCTTCCAAATGTTGACACATTTTATTATAGAACATCAAACATGTCACATCTATTAGTGTCGCCGCTAGTCTCATCCGCAAAGTTAAGTATGGTGAGGCTGCCAGTCTCGCTGTGGCAGGTACAAGTCTTCCAAAGCATTGTGTTGGCCAGCAAGTTTGTTTGTTTTTTCCTGTAATATGGCTCTAGTAGCGCTTAGTTATCTTTAACTTCATTTAAAACAGTTTCGTTAGATTGTATTGTGACAGCTGTCATATCTGTGTGCATTTTAAAAACATCAAAATTGGTGAATTTTTTGTGGCTATTTTAATATTAAAGATGGAAGAGAAGTGACATTTTCAGTGTTTTATGCTTTATTATTTCAAGAAAGATGAAAACACAATTGAAACACAAAAAAAGATTTGCGTAGTGCACGATCGAACATGTCAAGAGTGGTTTGGAAAGTTTTGTGCTGGAGAGGTCTCGCTGGACGACGCTCCATGGTTGAGTAGGCCACCTGAAGTCAGTCAAGACATTAATTGAGAATAATCAGCATGAGACCACATGGGAGATAGCCGACGTACTCAAAATATCCTAATCAATAAAGTTGTTGGTGAAAATGAAAAATGTGTCTTTTATATTATGGGAAAAATATAATATATAAATGGAACTTTTGGCCATCCCAATACTTACTTTCACTTGAAAGTTCAAACTGTACCATGTTAGCAAATACTGTCAGTTGTTTTCCTTTGAAAAAACAAGCTCACTTCAATTGTTGATTGTTCGTTCATTCTTAAAAGTGGTATTTCTTGAAAAAAGTGAGTGGTTCAGCTCATCACGCAATGATACAAGTGCTCTTCCTAAAGACTGTTTGGGTTGCAGCAAAAGTGCTTAATGGGTACTTCCTGGTTTCTCATGCTAGATATTAAGGAGACATGTATTCTTGTTTCGAATGAAGTTAAAGACCAAAAAAAGACATATATTCAAGGGTCAAGATTTAATAAAAGTAATAATTTTTATTGCTTCACCGAGGACATTCTTACATGAAACTGGATTTTTTTCTTTTTCCTCAACTCTCAAATGGTGGTGAAAATTACAGATTACCAATTTAGTTTGCTGTCATTATTTTGTTTCTTGCCAGATACCAGTAATTTTACCCACCATTACTTCTGTACCGCCATTGCAAGTATCAACCTAGTGAAAAAGGAACATAAGACTTTACTTGGAAAAATGCCATTGACCAGGCAGATTCCCTAAAAGGTTCTTGTTGATTTCCAGATGTCTAGGGACCACACTTTGGGAATCCATGTGATAGATTGTTTACAAATCATTGGAATAGTGTATTGTCAAGAAGTAAAACCTTAACTATGTATTTTTCATCTTTTCCAAGATCCATGAATCTGCAAATGTGAACATAATTATTTGTGAATGCTCATTGTCCCGGGGGGAGAGTCCACAGCTTCCATCACACACACAAAGGGGTTTGTGATCCCCGCAGAAAGTTAAGAATCAGTAGCCTAGGAACAAAGTCTGCATGATATCAATGTTTTTATACTTAAGACTTGTTTTATATCCTAATACTTGGCCAATTTTTTAATGTTCCTTTGTGTGTGAACATTTATACTTTAATTTTTGGGATGAATGACTTACACACGCGTGTGCACATGCACGCACGTTCCTCCATATGTAAATGTGTGCATATATATTAGATAAAAGGTAAGTGTTTTCCTAATCCATTTCTTACCTTTTGTCTTCTTGATTATCAATTTAAGAGAAAGAGATGTTAAAATCTCCGTCTGTTCACTTCAGAGTAATTCATTGGCCACATTCAGTCATTGTTGAAGCTGAGTGATGGATACATGGGAAATCTTTAGAATAGTCTGTTCACTTTTGCAGATGTTAAAATTTTTCCATTAAAAAGGTTTTTAAAAATATCAAACAGGTCAGTCATAACCTTATTTGGTAATGTTTTGAAAATTAACCTTAAGATGTTCTTATGCTCCAGTTAAGGGAAAAAACATTTACTTCCGTGACATTTCTGTCCCTATTCTCTTGTTCTGTTTACATTGTAGGGACAGAACATGTGGCCAGCTACTTGTGTAACGACTCTCCACGAACTTCTCTTTGGCTTTTTCCTATAATTCTTTGGAGGATTTTCTTATGGGGGTGTCCTAGATTTTCTGATTTCTGCTTTCAAAAATCATAATTTATATATTGAGAATATTGTTTTCTACATACATTGTTAATAGGGAATAATAATAACTTTAGATTCTCCTTGATGTATTACAGGTGGTTATTGGAGATCATGATGGGGTACTTTTGTGCTTTGGCATGAAGAAAGGAGAAGCAGTGGTATGTATAGCTTGTTTCCAGGGGGGGAAAGGGAATTTCTAAAAGAGAAACACACTGCTTAATGAATAATCCTAAGTTAAAAATTTTCTAAAATACAATGAAAAATGGGTTGTGAGGGAAATAGTTATGTAAAGGGCAAAGCTACAGACAGCACAAGAGTCACTTGCCAGCTATTTGTAAAACACCATTTACTCGTTTTCTGTGCTGTGTTACCTCAAACTTAGAGGCTTAAAACAACACATTTGCTGTCTCAGTTCTGTGGGTCAGGAGTCTGGGCTCCCCATTCCTCTTGGCTGCAACACGGTCATGAGCCGGACTTGGTTCCTTCCCCAGGCTCGGAGTCGTATGCCAGCCTCACGTGGCTGTCCTTGCTGTTGTAGGACCGAGGTCCCCCCCTCGATTGCTGTCTGTGAGTCAGGGTGGGCTCCGCATCTCGAGGCCCCCACAGTTCCTCTCACGGGCCTCCCCCAGCACGGTGCCCCCCTGCTTCAGAGCCGCGAGAAGATCTGTCAGGCCTGCTAGGCTGGAGGCTTTCGGGACAGAGTGTGGCACTGTGGGAGTGGCCGTCCCGTCACCTCCGCCGTCACATCGTCATATTCACAGATCGTAATTTACACGTCATAGGGGACTCATAGGCACTGTACTTTACATGGGATTTACAAGACGGTGAAGAGGGTGAAAGCTATCAGAAACTCAGTGTTTCCAATATTCACATATCCTCTCAGATATTTTAAAGTCGCAGGGGAGGAGAAGAATCTGATGGCGATAATAAAATGGAAAACAAGCAGGAAGAAATTAATACACGTGTTGTTTCCCATTAAATAGAGAAATAGTAAGTCAAGGTTTCCAGTAAATTATCTAGTTCTTCATTTATACTCTTAAAACTTAAAAAACTTTTAAAGAAATCAGGAGAGATTGGTGTTAAAAAGATACTCATAGTGTAAAGACATGTCCGTTGGGACCAGCTGAGGAATCTTGTTAAAGTGCAGATTCTTATACTGTAGATCTGGGATTGGGCCTGAGATTCTGTGTTTTTAACCAAGTTAGTGATGTAATGCTGCTGCTTAGTGAACTCCACTTTGTGTTGTAAGAGTTCAGATTTTTTTAAACTTTATTTGTATTATTGACACTATTACTGACATCCCTCCCCATTTCCGCTGCTCTTGGCCCGCCCCCACCCAGCCCTGCCCGCGCCTGTCACCTCGCTGTTGTCTGTGTGCGGCTTATGCGTGTCCTCTGGCTCCTCCCTTCACCTTCTTTCCTCCAGCCCCCCTCCCCCGCCCCCAGATTTTAATGGTGCCACTGAAATGCGTGTGGGAGTAAGTATTCCAAAGTCTGAAGATATTTAGCAACAAACCCCACTGAAGTAAATGTATTTGTATCTAAAAGTATTCCTGTACAGTGGAACGATGGCATTTTGGTAAGTTTAAGATGCCAGCATTTGCACAGCAGAGGAAAATGCTTACAATAAGTGTGTCTACTTATCTTTCCCCCATGGTGTTGCAGGCCGTGTTCAAGACCTTACCAGGGCAGCAGATCGCAAGGCTGGGACTGGGAGGCGCGCTTAACACGCCCCAGGAGAAAATTTTTATTGCTGCAGGATCTGAGATTCGGGGTTTCACAAAAAGAGGGAAACAGTTCCTCTCTTTTGAAACAAACCTCACTGAAAGCATTAAAGCTATGTATGTTTATTTTCCTTTTTCCTTTTCTATATACATTTATAATGTTTTGGATAGGTGACATTTGATTAAGTATCATATCTTAACAGGTTCCCTGGGACATAAAATTGACTAAAGGTATTTTTATAAGTCAGAAATTAAATTTGACCTAGAATCAATATGAAGTCAGTTGGTTGTTGAAATGTTTTTTGTTAAGACTTTTACAATATTTATACATTTATTTTTGACTGGTTGGTTCAATTAAGATTCATGATCAAAGTATAAAAGAAAAATGTGGGAAAAAATCTCCGGACATGTAAGGTTCCGCTTCTCGGCTGCCTCTGAAAGTTCTGGTTTCAAGGTGGCATCCTTTTCTGAGAAGGCGAGTCGTCCACGTCGGCGATTGCCCATAGGGTATGCCTTCAGCTGGGTCGGGGGGACTCTCGGAGAAAAATAGCCCCTTTAATGGCTTCCTGAAATGGGAGATTTTGCAGTTAAAATTTTAGTTTTTGAACCATGGGCTGGAAAGGGCTTACATACTGTCCCTGCTGCTCAGGGAATCCCTTGGAAGCTTACATCAACAAATCCCTCGTCCTGCCTCATGCCTGCTGACCCAGAATCGCTAGGAGCGGGTGAAAGGAAAAGCCCTTCACCTGAGCCCGCCGCAGCCGAGCTGCATGAGCGGTCCGACCTCGGCGTGGCGGCCGGCGCCCGCTCCCGGGCCCCGTGTGGCGCGGCGCTTGTTCAGTGCCCGGCTGTGCCCTGGCATCTGGGCTGTAAACGCGAGCGCGGTGGGTTGGACCAGAATGAACGATGGCGGCTGGAAGTGCTGCCAGTGGGTTGGCCGAAGTGTGGTTCTTCGGAAATGCTCTTGTAGACCAACGTGGCCGATGAGAATTGTGAAATACTAAAATCGAAGTGCTGAAGTAATTAATTAGTGTACCTCCACATTTAGAAAATATGTGGACAGAATTGGGAAGATGAGTCTAGTTTTTTTTTAATTTTGTTTTTTAATTATGGTTTACATTCAGTATTATTTTGTATTAGCTTCAGGCATACAGCATAATGGTTAGACCGTTGCGTGCTTTACAAAGTGTTACGCCGGTATTCCCAGCACCGTGCACACTGACTCTGTTCCCTTGGCTGTACTTGGCGTCCCCGTGACTATGTTTGCAGCCAGGAGTCACGCCTTTAAAGTGTTTTTATTGGAGTGGCACTTGTGGGGTGAAAAGGTCATTGGCTTAATGTTTGAAAAATTATCTCAAGGGGCGTAAGGAAACTAAATGGTAATGGAAAAGATACAATAAAGGTTGTATATATTTTACCTATATATATATATATGATCAGAGTCTCCACATTTTAATAAGATTGTGTAGGAAAACAGGTTATAACTCGAAAATATTCAGTAAGGAAGTTGACCACTTACAAAAGTGGTCACCACTCAGGCATCCTTCCCAGCTGAAAGTTTCCATCTGTCTCACTTTTGTCAACGATAGTGACTGCCGCCTAGTACTTTGGACAATGCAATGCAAATATAACAGGTGAATTTCAGAAGGAAATTTCAGATCTTGAAAAAGAGAAGGAATTTCATTAGGTTGCTAGAAATGATGTAAAGAGGTTGACTGAGACAAGATGCAGAGCCCCAGAGTGAGGCCAGCTGAGCAGTAGCTGAGGAGGAGGAGCTCAGGGAGCATCACCGCAGGACTGGGAATGATCTCGGTGCCGGGGAGAACTGTAAGTGTGCCTTGGAGGGGAGAGGAGGTGGAACCTTCAAGGAAAACCACAGCAGTCTCCTCATGACCGCATGGCAATCGCAAACAAAAGTGAGAGATGCACATGAGTGCATAGTGTTTGTCAAAAAGTGTCGGCTCCTCCCTTGAAAACTTGATCCAGTCTTACGATTTCAGAGCATAGTTGTAATTATTACCTAAATTTTACTAAATATAGTTTGAAATGAACTGGTTTTCATTTCTTTTTTCAATATGCAATTCTAATGAAGACATTTTTTCCACTGCTTATCATTTAAAGTAGATCCACGTCAAATAGACTCTTCTAGGCAGCACAGTGTCGTGGTGAGAAAGCCGGCGGAGTTACAACCGCCCAGGTGGCAGTCACTTGGCTGTCCGCTAGCTGGGTGCCGTTAGGCATGTGACTTAACATCTTACTACTCAGCTGGAGAAGGATGATCATGGTCCCTAGTTCATAGGGACTCATACATGGGGGTCGCTAGGACAGTGCTTTGCACATGGTACACATCAGAAAGTTACTTTCTCATGGATTATTTGTCTTCAGATACAGACATTTACCATTATCTTGTCTTTGTTTTCAGTTGTTCTGACCTCAATTTTTGAGAAGCCTGGGGCCTTAAGATCCTCATTTTCAAGTGTTAAAATCAGTGCTCTACCAAAAAGCTAAAAAAAGCAGGGGGAAATTCATTAGGGCTGTGATAAAATGATAGTAAAACTGTATAAATAAACTTTTATTTTCCTCTCCAAAAAAATTTAGATTTTTATGCTTATTTTTAAAAATATGGGTGTTTTAAAGTACTTTTGATGTTCTCAGGCACATCTCTGGCTCAGACCTCTTCCTCAGTGCAAGTTATATCTATAACCATTACTGTGACTGCAAAGACCAACATTATTACCTTTCCGGGGACAAAATCAACGACGTCATCTGCCTTCCAGTGGAAAAGTTGTCTCGTGTTACTCCAGTGTTGGCCTGCCAGGACAGACTTCTCAGAGTTTTACAGGTAGCTGCTATTTGCACTTTTATAATTTTTCATAACTTAGGTTAATGAATATTGATGAACAGTGTCTACTTGAGATACATTACTTTATTGATTACTACCACTTTTAAATGCTCTACCTAAAATTATGCCTGGAAATTTAAAAATAATACTTTTTAATTGATGAACTAATTTTTTTTTTTTTTTTTTTTTTTACTTGAGGCAAATGTGTTTAAACCTTGGGCAAGTTTTTAGAGAGGCTTACATGGTACAAAGGATAGGTTTCCCCACCTGCATGATTTTTGAGCTACCAGCAATCAGAATGGAGTACCTTCAAAGAACTCTTTCCAGTTTTTATAATACTTTCCTTTTTTGTTTTTGTTGCTTTTTCCGTTGCCCTCCCCTCTCCCAACAAAGCAAATTGAAGGGCTCTAACAAGGGATAGTTGAGATGAGGGTTGTACCATTTGGGTTTATCTGCTCTTTATGACTGTGTGTGGAACAAAGTAAGTACTCAGTACATATTGGCTGGATCAGTGAGTGATAGAGGAAGCATGAAAAACCATAATTTGCCAAAACAGCTGCTTACAGCCATTGTATAAGTAGTGATAGTAATGACTAGGTTTTCTTGAAACTAACTTTTCAATAAAATACACACACCAGGACCCATAAAATAAAGTTTAAGTGCAAGTAACATAGAACCGGGGGGATGAATTGGTTCTAAAATGCAGGCCGAAGGCAGTGTGGTTGGACAGGGTTGCGCTGTTTGCGCCGGGCACCGCTGGCTCGCTCAGACTTCCTGGCCGGTGCCCGCTTTGTGGCATGGCCTTTATAACAGGAAACATCAGTGGTTCTGTGAGGTTTTTCCTTCGGAATTAAGTGATGTTTAAGGTTCATTTCGGAGGCAAGAACGGTTCATTGCTCCCCTTGCCTGGGCTCCCAAGTCCGAGTTGTTTGTATACAACTTTTAGCAGGAACGGGCTGGCATTCACTTAGAACGCGGTGTGGCTGAGTTCTAGGATTCTGCTTCGTTTACATTAAGAAGCCCATAAGCTTTTTTTTTTTTTTTTTTTTTTAAAAAGCCACTAAGGATTTATGGGAAGCAGAAAGTGGCAGTCTCTGCCCTGCCCTCCCGGCTCCCATCCGCCGTGCTGTGGGGTGCTACCCCAGAGGTGGCCTTTTTCAGGCAGTCTGTGTGTGTCCTGTTGTGCTTATGTAGTTATAGGTGGATATCTAAATCTTTAAGCGTTACTTTAAATAAAAGATAAAGCTTATGGCTCTCTTATGTATGTTACATATATTTAAATTTTTTACTGTAATTTTGCATATTTTTTTCATTGAATGGTTTACCATAGATGTTCTTTCCATGAGAGAAAGAGTACTTCCGCCTCATTCCTTGCAGTTTCGCAAATACTGTGCACTAAGTAAAAGCGTTACCAGTGGTAACATGGGAAAAATGACAAAAGGGCCTAACCTGCTTCCTCATCTAAATGCAGGTCTCCTGCCTCCCACGCAGAGAGTTTTGGGAGCACCCAAAGCCAAGGCCGGGGCCTCTCTTAGGAAGGGACGGGGGCCTGTGTGAGTGGCCGAGGGCGCTCTGTTAAAGCCCTTTGGTTGGCCAGAAGCAAGCGTGTTCCCGGGCAGTTTCATTAGGATGTTGACCGGTGTCCTAATGTCGACAAGTTTCAGGCGCACAGACATTTAAAATGAAAAGCACTGAAAGTAGAGACTGTTTTAAATATTTATCATCTTGATCCTTACATTTTATATATTATATTTTAAAATGTGTTAACACATGCAAAATTGCTGACAAACACAAGTCATAATTCATGACCTAATTTTTTCTGCAGTTCTATTCTGGAGTTCCTTAACATGAGTATTGACGTTACTCCTGCGTGCCTGTTTTCTTGTAACTCTGTATCCCGCTTCCGTTTTAAAATGCGTGCTCTCCCCCAGGGGTCTGACGTGGTCTACGAAGTCGAAGTCCCTGGCCCGCCCGCTGTCCTGGCCCTGCTCGACGGGGATGGTGGTAAGTCAGCCTTTTGCCCCACACGGCCCGGCGGGCAGTGCGCCAGCCTGGGGTGGAGGCGCTTCAGGTTCTGAGCCTTTCAGCTATGTTTGAAGTGGAAGTGGGGACTTGTAGAAGGAACGTGAACTTGAATTGAGACCACGGTGTTGTCTGGCAACTTGCCAGTCACTCGCAGTAATGTTATTGAACTTTAATTTTCAGTTTTCTTGTCTTAAAATAGATGCTAAGGAAGCTCAAATGGTTGTAAAATTACATGACTATATAACCATCCTCCCGAGTTAAGTTTTCTGTCTTTGTATATTTTTTAAACGGGATTATTACATGAAAGTCCATATGTATGAAAATATTTTAACAAGATGAGTGGTGGGACAAGCACATGTTGACTCTAACTAGGTGACTCTGGAGAAGACCTCGTGTTTGGAACATCGGACGGGAAACTCGGACTTACGCAGATCACTGCATCCAAGCCAGTGCACAAGTGGGAAATTCGAAACGAGAAGAAGAGGGGAGGTATGTTTTTCATATAGTTCAGATTCTGAAATTTTGGTAATTATCAAATGAAATACCCTAGATTACATAGCCCGTTCTGTTTTATTTATCCATAGTACATATGGAACAGGCTGGCTATTCCCGGAGCCACCGCAGCTGTGTTTACTGTTCATTACTTACCAGGGCTACCATATTTTTGGCATCGTTTTTTAAAATGAGATACAGAGAGTGATTTGGGGCAGATGGGCTCTCAGGGGCGAACGCCTACCTGTAACTTCATTCTGCGCCCCCTCCGCTTTTCACTGCGCAGCGGAGGGGGTTGGATTTCGGAGTAGTGCTTGGTCTGAGGCGAGGGAGAAGGGCGGGGGTTCGGGGAATTACTCGTTTTCTCAGGGACATGTCCTTTTCTAAGGGTAACTTACATCTGACTTGGTGGGTAGTGAGATAGGCCTTTACAAGGACAGCATGGTCGTTCATATATATATCCCCTCAACAAGTCGCCATTTGTTAGGGGAGACAGAGGATACACAAATGAGTAAATAAGGCAGCTTCAGCCAGGCGCCTGCGGGAAGTCGGAGGGGCCGCCTGCAGGGGCGCAGCGCTGGGCGGGAGGGGGCGGCGGCCTCACGAGGTGTGGCACTCGTGCTCAGGTCCGGATGAAAAGAAACAGAGTAAGGTAAAGCTCTGGGGGGAGCGGTGTTCCCGGAACGGGAAAAAATGGGGGCAAGGGACTCGAGGTAGAGGCAGACGCGCTCCATCTGGCAGACAGTCGGCGGGAGGCCGGTGTGGCCAAGGGCATTAGCTCGGCTGAGATGGGGGGGGAGGCAGCAAACGCGCAGGTCCTTGTGGGCCCGGGGGAGGGGTTTTGGGCTGTCATCTCCGTGCAGTGGGAAGCCATTGCAGAGTTGTATGTGTAGGCAAGGACATGATCCAATTTACCACGACGAGCAAAACCACTCCATGGAGAACGGGTTTTGAAGGAGGCAGGTCATTGCTGGAAGCATGGAAGTCAGTTAGGAAACGACCGTGGCAGCTGTTACCGTGTACCCTGGCCTGGGCTCTGGGTGCCGGCGGAGGCACAGCAACGGACTTTGCCGGTGGGTCTGATGTGGAAGTGAGGAGAGAGAGCAGCCAGAGACGCAGCCTGGGTGGCCGGCCTGAGCGAAGCGGGGGGGTGTCACCCTGCAATGCGGGGAGCCCAGCGGAGGAGCGTTGGTGCCGGGGCCGAGGAGAGGTGTGCAGAGTTCGGTCGGGCGCGGAAGGTCTGACCTGCTCGCGATGCCTGGGAAGGTGCTGGGTGCAGACTTCGCTCTGCGGGCCTGGAGCCCTGGGGAGAGGCCAGGGCTGGAGACGGAGACTCGGGCCGCTGCCGCCTGGGCCCCACTGACAGCCTTGGGCACAGGCAGAGGTGGGCAGGAGGGGAAAGGGCGCCTGGTAATGCTCCAAGTGCTCTTTTGTTTGCTTTCATGTCTTGTTTCCCATTCTGATTTTTTCATTCTTACTTGGTATATACTTGACTGTAATACTAGTATTATTATTAACTTACCTCCTAACGTTTTTTTACAGGTGTCTCGTGTGTTGACAGCTTTGACATTCTGGGTGACGGGGTCAAAGATTTGCTTGCTGGGAGGGACGACGGCACGGTGGAGGTGTACGCTTTGGGTGGCGCCGGGGGGCCCGTTCTGCGCTTCGAGCAAGTAAGCTCCTGTTTAAAAAGATTATGAATCAAATCATGAGTTATAGAGATGACTGTGATGGTTTGGACTTTATTAAATGAAATACATTGAAATCTTGTGATTGGCTTAGTATATTGCTGCTTTGATGCAATCAAAATTTTCTCTACTCTTGTGTTTGAATGTAATAGACTGTTGCCTTCAAGCTGAATAATAAGTATTTTCTCATTTGGTTTCTAAATATTGTATATCTAAGTATTAAATGTTTTGTCTTAGTTTCTGTAGTGCAAAGTAGGTTACAGGAGTCACATGTGTTTGGATAACAAATGAGAGTGTTGTGGTAAATGAGGTTTCAGGGATGAGCCTCGTGTTGTTAGGACAATATAATAAATACCTGAGAGGAGCCGTTTCGCTTCCATCTACCCAAGGGCCCGCTGTGTAAGGAAAAACACTCGGTAAGAGTGACTTTTAGTTCACAGGCTTTAGGTGTAACTAAGCTTGCTCATCCCAGAGCACAAAGCCATGTGGGAAGCGCGCTGGCATAGACGGAAGCTGTCATCTCCGTGGGGGTGTTCCCCTGTCCCGGGTTTCCCCACCCGGCCTGTACCGCAGCTCAGTGTCAGTTTTTTTTTGTCCAACTTCTCTAACAGCAGTGCCTCCCAGTCTCAACTAACTGCACATCAGCAAATACAGATGTTTTGGTGTGTAGAGAGAGTATATTACATAGATAAAATGGGATTAAAAATATTTTACAACTTATTTTCTAGATTTATTTCATATTTGTTCATTGATGTAAAAAGTTCTCTTGCTAATGATGCAAAAAACTGTTTAGTCTTAAAAATATGCAATAATTCTTTGTTGGTGATCTATTTTTTTCTCATCAACGCCTGAGAAACTGTCCTTTTTGGGCGTAAGTCCCGTCTGTTCCAAACGGCAGCAGGGACGGAGCGTCCCATCCGCCACTGGGCACGGCCCTAGGACACCCCGCCTTCCCCTCTTCTCCCCGGTGTGTCTCATGGCGGAGGGGCTGCTCTCGGGTTCCGTGACAGCTGCAAGTGAGCGGCCTCGTCGTGGGTTCCTGACCTCCCTCTGTTGTTCTCCTGGTCGGAAGTCCTGACACCGGCCGGACACGGGGCCGCTCAGTCCAAACAGTGAGGGAGCAAGTCGTAAAAAGACTGTAGATGCACCTTCACCAGGGCTCCCCGATGGGCATCCCGCGTTGTTGTTTACGGAAGCCATATCCACACTGCGTTGTCTAGCATCTCCTGCTTTACCCGTACTTGGTTTTTAAAAAACAGAGTTGAATTAGCTAAATCTACAACTCTAAGACTTTTACAAAAATGTACTTGAAGTATAAAAGGTAAATGAACTTCAAAAATACTGTTTTAGCAAAAAATATAGAAAGTAATAGTTTTTTAAGTTTTTGTAACTTTTTTGAGTACATTGGGCTAATTGGGGAACTTCTAAATGAGTGGAAGAATAAAAGTCACAATTAACAGTCACCCAATGAACGGCCCGGGGAGGGAGAAAGTACCTGGCTACCACCCGGTGAAGCCTCTTCCTGGAAGCCGGCTGCCTTCCAGGTTTGCTCTCAGTGAATTGAAGAGGGACCTGATCACGTGGGAGATGACATGTCATTAAAAAACATTTTGGGTCGTAGATCAGCTGGTGATAGTAGGTGCTAAAACAATTGAGCAAATTTCTATAACAAATTTCTTTTTTTCTCAACATCGTTATGTGACTAACGTTAATTAGTGCTTATATCTATGAAAATGAAAAATAGGAATAGAGCTGATGTTGAACCCAGTCTTATTTTAGCAATATGTAAATAATTTTCATTGTGATACTTTCATTGTGATGAATAATTTGGAAGAAAAAACATTTTATTCATCTCCTGAGATACATTTCCTGTAGTATTTTGCTTTTGTAGCAATTATTTACTAAATTGTGTCTATGTATGTCAACTATGTAATACTAACTATAATGACAAATTTCTAATGCTTAGAACTTTCTGATCACAGATGATAAACATTTTCATTTGTTTTTCTTGGTTGCAAGAAGTATAAAAGAATTTCAGGCTTACTAGTATGTTTCGTTAAGTATATGTCGGGGAAATGGAATGAAAATCAGAATTCAAGGAGAAAAAGGAACAGTGTAAAATTTCGCACTGTTTCTCCATTTTTTGTAATTGTTTCTCCATTTTTTAAGTTAAGAGTTATGAATATAAATTTGTCCCGTTATTTAGATTCATTGGGTTCGATGAAAGGATGTGACAGTTTTATTTTAAAAAGATAATCTCTAAAACTTCCAGAAATGACTTTCTTTGTAACTGTTTAGAGTTTTGATGAAAAATCTAAAGGGCAGCTTTAAAATGGGGGGGGGGGGGGGTGATGGTATATAGTTTGTTTCAGAGTTACTTCAGCAGCAACGAGACCAGCAAGGGGTGACGGCCTCTGGCGCCCGTGAGGGCCGCTCACTAAGAGCAGGCCTGTGATGCAGACTTCGGGCCGAGCCCGTGGGACTGGGACCCCCGAGGTGGTCGTGGTGGAGAGGGGCGGCCTCTTTTTGATATGCTGTCCCCTTCCTTCACCTTCTCCAGCCTGTCCTCATGAGAATTACCTAGTGGTGTTTTTCACACCGCTGGTCAAAACCCGGTAGTGGGCCAGCACGTTTTTTCCAGGAATCAGAATACATCAGGGTGCACCGCAAACCTTTTACGTTGTGTATGCTCGTGTGTGAAAGGGTACCTGGCTGCAGTGTGAAGTGCATCGCTTGCTTTCCGAGTAGCTTAGAAGCCACTGACCTAGAGTGCTGGTTGAGCTTGGATTGCTGGTCGGCTCACTCACGTGGTTATTACCAGAGAGCTTGGGAAGGAGCTGCCTAAAAGAGCATGTTCCCCACAGGTTCTGGCAGGTTCCAGCATCATCTTTATTTATCTGAGAAACTCTTGGAGAAAACACGGGAGGCCGGGTCCCTGGACATCGGGCAGTGGACCAGAGGTCTTGAGAGTTTGCTTATGCAGCCTTTCAAAACTTCTTTTTTATATATAGATAAATGATTCTCATTCATTCGGTTACTGTTGTAGCTGATTGGTACACGCAAATACCTGAGTCATTTTCAGTCGTCTTTCCCCTAATTTAAAAACACTGGAATTTCCTGAGGTTTGTGCAGGGTTTTTTGCCCTTCCAACCTCAGTGTCTACATATAGGAAGTATTCAGTAACCGTATGGTGAGTATCTGAACACAGGAAAATGAGTTTTGTGGCTTACTGTGACATATCTGTGAAAGCTTTAGTTGTTAATGAAGTACTTGATCTTAAATCTATTTTAGGCGCTGTCTGAAAGTGTCACATCTATCCAGGGTGGTTGTGTAGGGAAAGATGGCTATGACGAAATCGTGGTGTCCACATACTCAGGTAAGGTGAATGGTAATAGGTAGTTGAAGAAAATATCGATAATAAAAACCATAAATTTAATAAATTGCTTTGGTGACATTTTTAAAAAAGTATTAGTAAGTCACTATTTTTTTATTTTAATTTTTTTTACTTCTTAATTGAATTTATTGGCTTGCCATTGGCTAATAAAATTATATGGGTTTCGGGTATACAATTCTATAATACAATATATCATCTGTATATTGTACTGTGTGTTCACCACCCCAAGAAGTAAGTCACTCTTATCTACAGCATGAAAAGCTTTATTGGTTAAAAAAATAAGTGTGTCTTGATTTATAACACAGTTAACATTTGAATAGTACTTCTTAAGAATGCATGGGCCCTGGCCAGTGTGGCTCAGTGGGTTGGGTGTCATCCCGCAAACCTAAAGGTTGCAGGTTTGTTTCCCAGCCAGGGCACACGGCTAGGCTGTGGGTTCGTTCCCTGGTCGGGTACAAAAGGCAAACGATTGCTGTTTCCCTCTCATATTGATGTTTCCCTCCCTCTCTTTCCCCCTCCCTTCTTCTTTAAAATCGATAAACAGGTCCTTGGGTAAGGATTTAAAAAAAAAAAAAAAAAAAGAATGCTTGGCATATCACTAGTATCTTTAAAAGTTAAGTGATATTCGTTGGTTTAAAAATTAATTTAATTTGTGCTTTGTTATTTATTACACATTTGTATAAGAAATAGGTATTATAAAAACAAGAGTTTAACTTAACATGAAAATAATTTTTGAAAAAGTTTTTATCAGCTATTTTTGCATTTGCCAGATTGTTGATTCATACTGTAAAACTGTAAAACTGTAAATTAAATGAAAGTATTTCAGGCCAAGCAAAAATAGTCTCACAAAATGCTCCAGTAATGTATTTGTGGTTTGAGTAGTTTGCAGCTTAGTTTCTTTTGGTTTTCATTTTGGCCTGGATTTTGAAGAGGAGTAAGTGCCGGGAGTGAGCGAGGGCAATGCTGTTGGGGGGTGGGGGCACGTGGCGGGGCCCCCTTTGGCCGGCAGGCCTGACAGCACTGCTGCCCTTCCCCTTGGCAGGCTGGGTGACCGGGCTGACCACGGAGCCCGCGCACCGGGAGGGCGGGCCCGGCGAGGAGCTCAGACTCAGCCAGGAGATGCAGAGCAAGATTTCCTCCTTACGGTAACTCGGGGCTTTTCTTTGCCTTTTTATTCTCATTTCACAACATGTGGGGCTGGGAGCGGGCGGCGGGGGGGGGGATAGAAATTCCTTACAGGTGCAGTATATTAATTATATAGGAAGAAATTACACGGTAAATTCGTTTATCACTTACTAAATGAAAGTTTATCAGTTTGAGAAAATCAGCAGGCAGTCCTGCTTAATATTTTGGGGTTTAGAAACATACCGTTTGTATGCTTTATTGTGTATTGACTTTCTTAGATCAAGAATTACATATTTTTATTTAGTTACCTGGAATCGTAGTGTGTGTTTTTCACAGGCATTAGAAGGCAGCCAACATGGATGGCTCTGTTCCTCACCGATTCCCGCGGTCCCTGCTCCCACGGGCCTTTCACATCTCTGACTCTGGCCTGTGAGCTTTCTCCCTGGACATGAGTCGTGTCCAGGGAGACTTTGTCGTGTTGACTTCCCCAGGCACAGCGGTTGCTTTTGTGGCCTGTTGAATTCGACAGGAGAATTGCTTCATCCATGAAGCGGGAGTAGCTGAAACTTTGAATGAGTGCCCTTCCTGCTTCAGTCCTGGCCGGCCTCTTGGGGGAGCGAGGCCCGTATTTCTGGGCAGCAGCTGAGGGTCACAGAACTGTTCAATGCAGCAAGTGCCGCTAGTTCCCCAAAGCCACACCCCAGGCTCTCCTCACGCCTGCTCACTGGAGCCGCCAGGACGGCAAGCCGGGACGGTCACACAGCAGGGACAGCATGGATTACTAGTGACAACTGGCTCACGCCCTCAGTACGACGCTTTACGTGCACAGCTAGGTCTGCTCACCGCCCCCCGCCCCCCGCTCCCCGCCCACCATGCAGCCCACGAGAAGCTTCTGTCTGTCCTGCTCACTCAGCCCCCGGAGCATAGGCTCACGTGACACGCTCAGCAGCTATTCCCAGGACACCTGGGTCCCTTTGTTCGCAGCACACATCCCTCCCGAGCTCCTCCCCAGGCTTCCCTCCTAAGCCGGGGTCGCCGAGCCTCACGTCGTTCTGCCCCGTGACTGTCCGCTTTGTCTGCCCGTGGCCTTTCCCGGCGACTGGAGTGACTGCGCCATGCCCGTGCAGCTCAAGCTCGCAGGACCCTCTCCAACGCCAGACAGGGCGTCCGCCGCGCCCCTGGCTCCTGAACGCCCCTGTGGTCCCCCCCACGGGAAAACTCCACAGCCTCCTTCTATGTTGTCTAGTTGTCCTGAGGTGAAAGGGGCATGTTCCCTGGTTTCTCCGTACGGAGGCTGGTTCCTGAGCCCAGGTGCCACCAGGCTCCCTCTGATTAGCACTCCGGGACCCGGGACCAGCTGCAGGGTGAGAACTGGCTGCAGCCGCCTGACCCTCATAGCTTTTTACTGCTACTGCTGGTATAGGGCTGAGCAGATGGTTAATTTTTAGAGTAGAGGTCAATACTGTGGAATTGTTTGGTCAGTCCTAGAAGCAAAAATTTTGTTCCCATTAGTGTTATAGTTCTAGCTCAACCAATAAAAATCCATTTTGCAGAAGTGAATGTCTCCAAATTATACAATAGACACCCTCAGGACCTCAGATGTTCAAACTTCCAGGTGACAGAGTTACACACTTCCCCTGCAGGAGTGAGCTGGAGCGCCTGCAGTTTAAGGTGCTGCAGGAAAGAGAGAGATACCAGCAGGCCTCGCAGTCGAGCAAAGCTAAGTCCGCAGTACCCTCCTTTAGTATAAATGACAAGTTCACGTTAAATCAAGATGATGCCAGCTACAGCCTTATCTTGGAGGTGCAGACAGCGATAGACAACGTCTTAATCCAGGTAAGCAAAATGTCTAATTTCTTTGGGTTTTTTGGACTGGGCCTACTTTGCACACCAGCCAGTCATGTGCACTAATTATCATTGAACACTTTTAGTTGTAGAAGGTAATTTTAATGTTTGTCTTTTAAATGTTATATTTAGTTTAGTGATTTTTAAGGTTTTCTTAGTCTTCCATTAGATTAACAGTTTTCTCATAGATTTTCTAAATTACAGCTTTACGGTTATCCTATGCATGTTAAAGAAAAGACAGATGGACTTAAGTTTCAGGATGAGTCAGAAAGGATGTTAAGGATTTTGCACTTTGGCTGGCCTTTAGGAAAATCGTCAGAGACGTGACTTGGAAAATTCCAGTATTTCATGCCCGTATTAGAACCTTCAAATGCCAAAATAAATAGCCTGCAGTACAGCTCGCCCATTCACCACCAGTTCGTAGGTGGGTCATTGGGCAACAGAGATAACCCCAAAGGTGAAATTCAGGGATAACCATGTACTGCTCCATTCTTCAGTATATTTAATTATTTTTTTTCTTTAAGTTGGAAGATATTCAGGGAGTGGAAAAGGATGGTAGTATGACGAATGGAAAACAAGCAAATAATAGAAAACCCATCAGAAAGTGAGAAAAGAATAAAGGGAGGAAGAAGACAAGGCTTAAGAAGGTGTGGGGGCGAGATCAGACTATTAGTCAAACTCTGAAGGCGGAGGCCCCCTCAGCCAGGGCCGGCGCAGGGGCCGCCGCGCGGACCAGCCGGGCGGGGCGCCCTGGGCCGCCTCTCGGGGCCGGGGTGAGGGCGAGGCCACTGAGAAGGGCCGGTGGGCGGCCCTCAGCAGCCCCGGGGCCGCGCAGGGCCGCGCGGGGGTGGCGCGGCTCTAGGAGCTGTGTGCGGGGCCAGGCGGGCCCCGGAAGCTCTGGGCCCGTCGCACAGGGTGTGACTGACCGCTGCGCTGTGCGCCCCAAACGGGCACAAATGACGGGGGATGCCAGCTCGCTGAAAAATAACTGAAAAACTGCCTCTCCAGAGGAGACCCGGAATTACGCTTTTTCTTGCATTATAACTGCCGTTAAAACTGACAAACATGAACTAACACAGTCAGAATGGACACATTTGCAGCCTATGGTAAAATATTTAGCACCAACAAAAACAGGGAAGATGATACTTTTAAGGGGGTAATGAGATGATATTCTATGACATCTGATATTTCAAATTAGAAAAAGAACAGGTTATTATAACATTTATTCTCTATTATATGTATCTTCTAGAAGTACATATTATCAAATATAAATTCAGAGATTTTGTGCTCTCCAATTTAAGGTGAACATGAGGAAAAACCCTTAAGAGAAAATAGGTTTTGGAAAAAGTGTCAGTTTTCCATCTGAACTTTTTTTTAAATGTTGACTGTAGAGTGATGTTCCAATAGACTTACTTGATGTGGATAAAAATTCTGCTGTCGTCAGCTTTAGCAGCTGTGATTCTGAGGTGAGTAAAACTAAAGAATCTCCGGACACGCTCATTTCCACCTTGTTACTTTGAGTAAAGCCTGTAAACGCCAGTGGGGATCGTGTGCCTTCTTCAGTCTCTCCTTTCAGAACCGTTCCCTGAAACCGGCCTCTGCTCCCCCTCCGCCCTCAGAGGTGTAACCGGGAGCCTGGGGAGCGGTCCCCCTCCCCGCTGTCCCCACTCTGGAAACCCCGTGGTGCGTAGCGCGCCCCGCCGCCCCGCCCGGTGCGCCGCCTCCCCTGCTGGTGGCTGCTGTGCTCGCTGGAACCGCGTCCCCTTCCGTCTGTCGCCCGGGGGGCCCCTCCCTTCCAGCTGTGCTCACGCTGCCACCAGCGAGGTCCTCCTGTAGTGCAGGCATCACTGGGTCATTTCTTTCTCAAAAGCTTTTAAAGCTTTTGTCGCATGGGAGTCTAGATTCCTCGCTGTGGCGTAAAATCCGCCTTCCCTTCCACGCACGTGGTTACTGCCACGCGGACTGAGGTTCCTAAGAGTTCTGGGAAATGCATGCTGCGTGGCTTTACACATCCCTGCATTTCTGCCGCGTCTGTTCCTTGTGCCGGCCCTTGCCGCCCTCGGCGCGCCTGGTGAGTCCGACCCAGCGCTCCTTCTGCCGGGCCCTGGCCGCGTGCGCAGCCCTGGGGTGGAGGTCGCCCTCCGAGCTCCTGGACACGCCCACTGTGTGCCCCCTCGGTTCGGGGCTGGTGGGCAGCGCCCTGAGGGGGGCGCCCCGCAGGAGCAGGGCCGGCGGGCGGGCCTGGGACGACTTGGACTGCGGCGCCGGGGCTGCGTCCGAGGTCGGCCGGCGGTCACGCGGAGGGAAGGGGGGGGACGAACAGAATAGGTAAGGGACAAAGGTGACAGCTGTATGAGGGGCTCATTTTCAATATAATATAATATAGTGTAATTTCATAGTAAAGCGTTTTTTTCTTGATGAGAGATTGGATAGCAGTTGTGTTATATTTGATTTGTCCCTGGTTGTGAATTAAATCATAAACATAAAACATTAGGGCCTTCATTTTTATCATCATTTTAAAAAATCAAGTTAATATAAACATAACATCTTTCATTCTTAAATTACTGTGAAAGATTAATGTGTTTTAGTTACATCGGCTAGATTGTTTGGAGTGAGTATTTTATAGTAATTTAAAGCCTCTTTTCTGGAATGACAGCTTTATAAAAGTCTTACTATGGAGATTTTGAGTACACACCAAAGTAGAGGGACAGGGTGATGGCCTTCACGGGCCGGGCGGGGGTGACGTCGCGTGCGGCCGGCCTTCTGCTGTGCTCTCCGCCCGCCCTGCCCTCCCGGTTCCAGACCTGATTCCAGGCGCTTTAGCTCTTCTAGCCTCTATCATTTTATCCGTAAATACTTAAGTGTCTAACACTTGTTTTTAATCACACAAAAATGTATTTATTTTTAAGTTGATTGATCCCCTGTGTTTACTGAGTTTAAATAATTTGAAATGTAAATGTTCAAATTTTCTTTTTGATATTAGCATCTTTTTTATTTCTTAGGTTATTTATTAAAAATAGGGAAATAGCAGTACGTGAAGATTGCATATCACATATTTCATGTTCCTATTTGCATTTCAGGAACCCAGATATATTTTTTATTTTAGTAGTTCAATATTTAATTTTAAGAAGTTACAATACCTGAAATTACCCATGCAATTTAATTCAACAAACCTGTACTGAATTCCTACAGTAAGCCATGTGCTGTGTTATTTGGTGGGAATACAGAGAGGAGATATTTCTCAGTCCTCTGTAAGTGTCTGTGAAAGTCAAAGACATTCTATTCCAAATGTAGATGTCTTTGTCTTTATAATATAAACGTTAAGAGTTTGCACCATCCGTGACATTTTTAGCAGAACAATTAATATTTTAAAACATTGTTGTAGAGACTCAAAATGGAAAGAGCGTGAGCTTTAGAGTCCTAACGATACGACTGGAATTCCAGTGTCATTACTGACTGGCTTTGGGGAAATCGACCCAACCTTCATGCCTCCGTTTCTTCATCTGTTAAAACTTAGTACAACTTGCCACATAGGGCTGTTTGTAGGAATAAGCAAAAAGCATTTAGCACAGTGCCACCCAGGTGACAGCTGCTCAGTAAGTGGCAACCATCACTGATGCTGCCTCTTGTTAAAAACATGGATTCATCAGTTTCCCTAACTTTGAATTCTTCCCAGTCCGGTGACAACTTTCTTCTCGCCACATACCGGTGCCAGGCAAACACCACAAGGCTGGAGCTCAAGGTAAAAATGTTTGAAGTTTTGTTACTTGAAAGTCTGAACTTTGGCTTTCGTATTGGTATAACCTGCGATGTATCATTTCTTTGTATTAAATGTCGCCCTGAAATGAGTGGTTTGAGAGCGATGACTTTGGAATGATCGGTTAGTCTCAGTTCAGCCCCGACCACTGTCTCGGACATTACCACTTGACCAAGCACCTGCCCTAAGATGACCAGTCCTTAACCTCCTCCAGCTGGAGTGTTTTTTCTAGCTCTCTATTGCGGGAAGTTTCACACATAGGGGAAAGCAAAGACTCCAGCTTCAGCAGGGAGCAACTGATGGCGACCTTGGGGTGTTTTTTTTTTTTTTTTTTTTGAAAAAAAAATTGAAAACTGGGATAGGTTCATTACAGAGGAATATATTTAGGCATATTTTATGTGACCTAATTAAGCATTTTAAATTACATTTTTACTGAGCAAGATAGTACCAGTTAATTTGGAAGTAGGCCTAAAAACTATTAAAAAGCTATGTTTTTTTTTAATTGAGTACAATAATTTTTGAAGTTCAGGGAAAAGACCAAATGCCTGAAAAGAACCAAGAAAACCATGAGAAAGAAGAAAAGGTGGAAGTTACCTAGTCATGTGGTAAAATGTACTATAAAACTATTTTAATAGTATTGTAGGGTATTTGCAAGGCCCAAATAAGTGGGCCATGCAACAAAGTACAGTCTAGGAATAGAGCTCAGCACACACTTAGGGAAATGTAATGCCTAACATAGTTATGTAGGGAGAAATTTTTACTAAGTTACTATTTCTTTTTAAAAACTGATGTTGGCACAACTCGCATCCACCTGGAAGAAAATTAAGTAGATCCTTACGTTGTATATTAAAATATGTTTAGCTCAATTAAGTACCTAGTTGTTTTTTTAAAAAAGAACATTTACTTGTCTTCCAGAGAGATAATGGGTGAATATCAATGAAATATAAAGACTGCCTGTAAGTTACAAAAAAAAAAAAAAGACTACATAAGAAGGAAAACAGGCAAAGCCTGTGGATGTTTAATTCACAAAGAGGAGCTCAAACTAGCTAACAGATATTAAAAGAAAACATTCTACCTCATTATTAGGGAAATTCAAGTTAAAATACCAAACAAACAAAAACCCCTAAGAGTTTGGCGAGCAGCTTTGAAGAGCAGCCGCCCCAGGTGGCAGGGCCGCAGGCCACCTGCAGGGCTGCTTCGAGGCCGAGGCCACAGTGCCACCACACCGAGGAGGATGACGACGACGACGCAGGGCTGCACCGGTGTTTGCAGAGGCAGAAACGCGGGGCCAGAAGGGCAGCTGGTTGCCGGGTGGTGGTTCAGAGCTGCGCCCTTGCTCCCAGGGGCGTGCACACCTGCAATCAAGGGGCCTTGGCAACTCTCGGCGCGGGCTCCACAAGACCTGCAGCACGCAGGTGAAATCCCTACATATGTATGTGTTTGAAACTTGACAAGGGTCTGAATATAGAGAAAGGGGCGGGAAGGAGCCCCCCTGTCCGGTTCGATGGGTTAGGTGGGGGGGTGGGAGCGGAGAGAGGCAGGGCTTCAGGACAGGCAGCGCTAAGGGAAGAATGTGGCGGTCAGAGGCAAAAACAGGTGCTTATGACAGAAATAGAAGTATTCACGTGGAATCGCGGACTTGTCTCTGTGTATCCGTGTAGAGAGAGGGCTGAAAGGGTGGGGCTGAAAGGGTGGTCACCCAAGGGCAGTAAGGACTGTCTCTGGGTGGTCGGCCTTCAGGTGGCTTGTGTGTTCGGTCTGATTTTTCTTTATTCAGATTTTTTAAATAATGAATATGAATTATGTAACCAGAGAAAGCATTGTGACCTTTTATTGTGGAAAAATTATGTTCAGCTTCCCCTCTATGATTACATGTAAGCTTAGCCATTAAAAAGAAACCTTTATCAGATGTATTTTTTAAATTTTCTTTTCAGTGTTTTTTATTTTTTAGTATTTTTATCTTTCCTGTCTTCCCATGCGGAGCGATAGTTGCATTGTAACATTTGCAAAATATCTTGCTTTAAACATTTATTTCTGTCTCCATTCAGGTAGAGTATTGCTTTTTCCCCCCTTCACATGGCAAGAAAAGTGTCAGTTGAAATGTCAGCTTAGAGAAGCCACCTTGGCGACACAGGGACCGTGACCCCTGGCCGGGCTCCAGCAGAGGGGAGTTGCAGGGGCCGGACTCCTTCCCCTCGGCCCCATCCGACCTCTCAGGGCTGCCGCCCCGGAGTCCCCGGGCCATGTGCTTGGGGCAAGAGTGTGAGCGCCGCTCGGGCTGCACCGCAGGCGGGAGTTAAGTTCTCGGAGGTGGTCTCCTGTCAGTAGGGTTTTATAAGCGCCACTTTATGGTCTAATACCCCCATTTCTGAGAAAACGAAATATTCCATGTACATTTTAGTTATTTGGAAAACTTATCCCTTCCACAAAAATGTCTGAATTTTAACCATTTTTGATGTGATTCTTTTATGTGTTTTTAAATATGATAGGGTAGTATGTGACAATGTATGTCTTTTGGCGTGACATAGCATTGCTAAATATAGACATGTCACCTGAAAATATGTGGTGGGGATAACTTTTATAGACAGATTAATTTTGTTTACAACTGCCAAAATGTTTGAAAATCTTCCTTTACTCTAGTGATAAAAAGTAGTTGTTTATAGAATGCCACTATTTTCTTCAAAATTTTACAGAAGAGATAAAGACCTAAGTACTTGGTTACTTGTCTCGAACACTTTAAAGAACGTTTATATGGCCCAATTATTCTTATTTTCCTTTCTCTCTCGTGTTGCCTCAGATTCGCTCCATCGAAGGCCAGTACGGCACACTTCAAGCCTACGTGACTCCACGAATCCAACCCAAAACCTGCCAGGTCCGCCAGTACCTCATCAAGCCCCTGTCCCTCCATCAGAGGACCCACTGCATTGATCCTGACAGGTAGGACAAAGGAGGCGGCAGTTTATTTTTAGGGTATCACATGAGGCAGATAAACGCGCCTTGCATTCCTGTAGTGTCAGTTCTGGTCAGGATATGCACATTTTCCTTCAATGCTGTGGATGAATATTTCCGGTGGACATCAGGTTCTCTGTCTCCTGTCAGAGGCCCTTTGGAGCTGGACTTGCCTGTCCTTCCCGCAGACTTCCTTCCGCTCTGATCCATGGGGTGCCATTCCCTCTCCCAACACCTATCCTGAGCGAATGGCCTTTTTAGCATTTGAGTTTTCTGAGAACAGGACCTTGGTGTGTTAGCCTCAAACATTCTATTTCCTTTCTGTTTCAGCTCAGGAAATAACTCTAGAGCAATTGATCTGGGTAGTCCCTGTTGGTTCTGACTTCCATTCTAATTTAAGAAGCCTCCTGTCTGTGGTTTTTTGCTTTCTTTCCTGAAGATGAGAGGCCAAGACTTAAAATGAAGGAGAATTCATTTCCTTCGTTTTAATGAAGGAAAGAACTGATTTATTGAACATTCTCTCTGCACCACGCCTTGTGCCAGGGGCTTAGGCATCCTTTCAGCCTTACAGCAAGGCAGGCAGGAATGTCTCCCTTTTCCAGATGAGAAATGGATCTTCGGAAAAGAAGTAACTTGCCGACATAAGAAACAGAGCTATGATTTCAGACTAAAGCCCATGTTTTTCCTGTTGCAGCTTATTATTTTAAAGATAGGTCATTTAAATAAGATGCGACAAGAAATAGTCCTAAGGAAAACTTTTTTGAAAACATTAAAGAGGATAGAATCTTTTTGGGGTTTCTTCCTCCTTCAGAGTCAAAGTTGTTAATGGTGGTAGGATGGTGTGCTGGAAAGAAAAGCAGACAGGGAATCAGGAGGCTCAGATTAAGGTCTTCTGTCTGTTCCTGTGTGGCTTCAGGGAAATAACTTTATCTCTCTGGGCCTTAGTTCTCTCATCTGCAAATGAGAGGGTTGTTCTGGATGATCTCAAAGGTCCCTTCCAGTTTTAGATTCCTTAATTCTGTTTCTTCCTAAGATATCTTTTGAATCTTAAATTCCACAAACTTCACATTTTCTTAACTCTTTATAATTATTCATTTGATTTATTTAAACTGCTTGATATATTTTACTCCCTTGTGTATGTGTTTGTGTGATTTTGCAGAATAGAAAGCATCTTCCCACATCCCCGTAGGATAGAAGGTGGGGTTCTCCGCCGCGGCTGGGGAGGAGTGGGGCGGCTGCGCACGGGTCTCCCCAAAGCCCCGCCGGTGCTGGCCTCCCCTCTTCCCCTCGCACTCCTTCTGCCCTCAGGAGGTTATGGTGTTCATGGGTTTAGGTAGTTTTTATAGTAGAAATACTAGGCGAACTTTAGGAATTATCAAAATATAGCGTGATGAAAAATGAAATCCTCCCGAGTAAACTGCGTTTTATTTGTAAAGTGTGTTGCAATGGAAACAAGCCATTTATGCCACTTCGCTGACTATTGAAAGCAGAGGTGGAGACAAGCACTCATTTTTTTCCCCATGGAACCAAAATGTTCACTTACCTGATGGGTGAGATTAATCTGAGAAAAATTAAATGGGCACTTTTATATTTGTTTAGCTACTATTGCACAGTTCTGCTTGTTAATGTGTTCTGTACATGTAATACCTCCACAAGTTTCCACACACAAATATGTATGTCTGCTGTGAATTACAGACCCATGAACACGCTGACTTTAACGGGCCAGTTCAGTTTTGCTGAAGTTCACTCTTGGGTGGCGTTTTGCCTCCCTGAAGTTCCTGAAAAACCCCCAGCAGGAGAATGTGTGACATTTTACTTCCAGAACACCTTCCTGGATACGCAGCTGGAGAGCACCTACAGGTAAACACAACCTGGCACCGGGTCACCAGTGTTTTGATATAAATGGGGCTTCTAAATTGTCTTCTGTTTTCAGTAACAGAATTGAAACCTATACTGTCCAGGAGAATCTATTGAAAAACAAGGAGAATTACTGAGTTTTAAAAAATGACTGCATAAAGGTGAATATGAGAGATCAATACATTTCCCGTTCCCGACCATAACCAGTTAGGAAAAAGACCCTCTCAGGGTGGCAACGACAATAACAGAACATCCCTATAAAAGCAGTCGGAACAGTCTTTATGAGAAATATGTAGAAGTCACATGAAGAAACTTTCTAACTGTATTGACGTAAAAGCCGTAATTCAGTGGAGCAGTAGGTTCAGCAGCCCTCAACATGAAGACGCTGTACACTTGGCAGGCCTTCCCACGTGGATCTGAACGTTATCCACCCTAACTCCAGTAGAAATTCCAGCGGCGTTTCTGTATGCAGAAACAGGAAGCGGGCCAGGACCTCAGAGCCGAGGGGGCGCAGGGTTCGAGGCACGGGGTCCCGAGGCACGGGGTCCCGAGGCACGGGGTCCCGAGGCGGGGGTCCCTGGCCGCGCGCCGCACTTCGCCAGCCGCAGCACCCCCGGCGGAGGCGGGAGGCCCTCCCCCTCGGTGCCTCTGGGGGGGAAGGGACTTCCTGTCTCATGCTCACTTTATCTGTGGGTTGTTTTTGTTTTGCTTTTTAAATTTTGTTTTCTTTGGAAGGGACTGGGCTTCTCGTCCTCTCTGCCCTGTTGTTCAGGATCCTTTGCCTGAGCAGAGTGTTGGGAGCTCCGCGGCCTGCTTCCTAGTCCCGGCTTCCGCGGCGGGTTCTGGGAGCGGCAGTGAACACGTCGCTGCGCCGCCGAAAGCAGCCTTTGGGGACCCAGAATTCTCCAGAGCCCCAATTGGTGTTGGGATCGGTCCTAGGGAGCAGTGCCACTGCGCCCCCGGGGGGCCTCCGCGTCAGACCTGTAGTGGCCGCACGGAAGGCCCTCGGCAAGTCCCCCGCTTCGCTCGGAGCCGCCCACTCGGCGTGGCCCTGGCGTGCTGCCCGTGTTAGTCCGTTTCCGTAATAACGTACCTTTGCTCTTCGCCACCTGTGCCGTTTGCGCTTCTTCCCATTCCAGTCAAAACTCTACTGACCCGTCAAGGCCCAACTCGATAGCTGCATTTTTAAAGCCTTTCTTGGCTCTCTCTAGTCCCATAGCATTTTATTCTTACCTGTCTTAGGTATTTATAGATTTTTTTTTTAGTATATAGTAATTTTTGCAATGGACGCTTATATCTCTAAATTAGATTGTAAGCTCCTCATAGGCAGAGTCTCTTTGTTCATTATCTCGGTACATACCCTGCAAGTACCGAAGGCACGGCCGCGAGCCGCGCGCTGCTCAGCAGCCCTGTTCGGTGTCGGGGTTAGGTGCGCACGCGCGCGCGGGGGAAGCGCAGGCCCGCGCGCTGCGGGGGCGGCCTGCCCGGGACTGGGACTCGCCGGCGGGGTGGCCGCGCCGCGGCACCTCGCTCTGGGGGCCTCCGCTTCCTCTTCGAGGGCTGCGCGTGGCCGCACTGCCGCGTTGGCCTGTGGCAGTAGAAGATGAGCTGTGTGGTGCTGTGTGTTTAATGTTAAATAGCAGCAGTTAAAATTAAGGACTAGTGAAGAATCCCATACTTTCTAAAACAGTTGGGGTCAAAATAGTAAGTCTGTATTAGTCATCTTTCTATTAATAAAAGAAAGTCGTGTTTGCCTGTAGCTCGTCAATATAAACTACTGGGTGTATTTTCTTCTAAAGCTGTGCTTTTAAAAATCATTAATTTTGTAGAAAAGGAGAAGGAGTTTTTAAATCTGACAACATTTCTACTATATCCATCCTAAAAGATGTGCTCTCTAAAGAAGCTACAAAAAAGAAAATTAACCTCAACATATCATACGGTAAAAAAAGAAAAAAGAAAAAATCTTTTTTTGTGTTTTTTCTTTTCTTTTGTTTGTTGTTACAATAAGAATGTTTCTGATCAAAATAACTTTCTAATTGTTCCTGGCTCGACTCCTTCTAGACATAAACGAAGTATCAGTCAAGCACACCTTAGAGCTCATCCACCCAAAGCTGGAGTACCAGTTGCTTTTGGCTAAGAAAGTACAACTAATTGATGCTTTAAAAGTAAGTATATGTGTCCTGGACTTATGATCGTTATTTTGTTCTGATGGGATTTCTAAAATTGCAAAGACTTTAAAGTTACACTGGACTGAAATTTGGACACTAAGTTACTTCTGTTTTTAATTTAAAATAAGGAATTGCAGGTTCACGAAGGAAATACAAACTTTCTGATACCAGAATATCGCCGTATTCTAGATGAGGCAGATCACCTACAGGAAGAATACAAAAAGCAACCTGCACACCTTGAAAGACTCTATGGTTAGTGGACTCTTCTGGAATACCTTGCCCTGTTTCCTTTCTGCTGGCTGTCTATGAAGGACCAGGTGGGAGAAGCTGGGCAGGGGAGACAGGCAGAGATTATAAGTAGTCGTAAGTATGTCATAAGTTTGTCATAAGTATGACAGCCGACTTGTTGCTTATAATACTTATTTTGTCAAGTTCATTTTAATATTTAATATTTTTACTTGACAAAATGCAAGTAAAATTAAGAAGTGAAATAAGTTGAACAGTGTGGATTTAGGTATATGAATAAACCTGATGTGGAATGAATATAAACTATGAAGCATTAACATTTAGGCTGTATTTCATACCAGTAATTTCACACCAGGAATCAGGTTTTGTTGCTATTGTGAAATATCAACATACAGTCTTTAATTTTTGAAGCATAACTTAATGGACATATATGTGCTGTGTCAGCCCAAGACTTGTTTTGCTTTGGGGTGGAAGTTGGGAGTTGCGCAGGTTGTATTGAAAGAGAGCAAGAGCAAGGGGGAAGGAACAGCTTCCATTTTGCCATCTTTACAAATGAGACCTACTGTGCACAGCACACCTGTTTATTTATTTATAGCATCTTTATGATCAGGTGGGATATTCAGTCCTTACAACCACTTTGCAAGGTAGATGATGTTATCTGCATTGTTCATATGTTTTAATGTGAAATCTGAGACTAAAGAATTCATTGTTAACATTGGTAGGTAGTGGCAAATCCTGTAGGCCTCACCCTAAAATACACGCTTTTCGCATTGTCTTCTGTAGCGTTCACTGGTGTCGTCGATCTACATTGATCCTTCAGCCTGTGCAATGAATTTCTTGTTGTTACCCAGAGACCCGCTCACAAACTGTAATAACAATACCTAATATCTTAGTATTTACTGTATGGCAGGCACGGGATTTTATCCTTAGAGAACTGAGATGTGCGGAGCAGACCCACCATCTCTCTTCGCCAGTTCCAAAGTCCAGAGGGCTTTGTAAAACAAAGCTTTCTTCTTAAATAATTTTGTATCCAATCTGACTTGGTTTGAGTTAATTTAATGACAAAACCTCACTTAAACTGACATGAGTGTGTTTATTTATGGTCTTTTTTCATTCCACCTAGTGTGATTGTTTGTCTACATACTTTGTTGCAGAAATAATGCTGTGTTTTGATAGCAAATGCTACCACTCATTCCTCTTGGGTATTACGCCATATATGCTGTATTTCTTTTATTATCTTTCCAAACTATGAAAAATTCTGAAACACGTCTTGCATCTGGCTTGAATTATTCCCATTGCACAACAGAGAGAACTGTAAAGGTGAAATAATTTGCCCAGACCTTTGAACCTAGAAATATTTGCCTTCTAGTCAAATCCCAAGAATGGTCACCATATAGATGGAATATTTTAATCTAAATAAACCTGTTAAGGACGGAATCTCTACAGTATGTCAAAATAGCTTGTTCTGAGAAACAAATGACTTGCCAATGCCATACATACCAAGAGCAGTTCAGAACTGGTCAGCAGTTGATTTGGTAAGAGGGTTATTAGGCAAATGATTTATATTTTGAAACTTGCCTTAAAATGCCCCCAAAATAAATATTTTTAAAGCATCGGTCCTTTTAGGTTTGTGTATAACCTGTGGAATTACAGCTACTTAGACTAGATTATCAAACAGTCGTCTACTTTTATTAAATCCTGTGTCATTAATTACAACTAATCAGTGACAGGAAATTAACATTTTCTTTACAGGCATGATCACCGATCTTTTTATAGATAAGTTCAAGTTCAAAGGTACCAATGTGAAAACCAAAGTACCTCTTTTACTGGAGATTCTGGACAGTTATGACCAAAATGCACTGATTGCTTTCTTTGATGCTGCATGAAATAGAAGCAAGGTAAAGTTTCAGAAAAATTGTCTGTTTAAATGAAAACGTTAAAAGTACAAGCTAACTGTACATATACTTTTACTTCAAGTACTTTTAAATATCTAAAAATATTTCAGATATGACTTTTTAAAGTAATGTTTCTATTTTGACAAATTCAACCATTTAAAAATAAATAGCATTTTTATTTTAAAAGTACAAGTGGAATGATTATAAGGAATTTTAATAAAGTTTTTGCAAACTTTATTATGTTTTGCAGACATGTCTTAACTTTTACATTGAGAAATAATATTTGGAAAATAAAAATACACAATGTGGGACAAAAGTAGGTTTACAGTTCATGTGGAAAATAATACAATAATTAATAAATGAAAATATTATACAAGAGTAAACTGTTTCGGGCACTCACTACTGTAAACCTTCGCTTGCTCCACCCTGTATTTAAATACTTACAAAGTGACACCTACACATTATATGTATAAACTGCTTAACATTTTTCAAAATGTATTAACATTTATTAACTCATTTGATTTTCACAACATATAATATTTTGTCAAATCATATAAGAAAACTGATTTTCACTGAGGTTAAGTGATGAAGAGGACATGCTTTTATTTTGTAAAGCTGGGACTAGAACCCACATTCGGGCCCCTGGTTTGTGTCCTCGTTATGACGTATGCTCTCAACCAGTGGAAATGACCTACCAATTATTTTGTCTAGGAGTTGAGGTTGGTATGTAACTGATTCGCTCTTGCTTCGTAGTGACCGCGCTCAGTTTATGGACTGCCTGCGGGGGCTCCGCGGTATAAACTGTGGACCTGCGGACTGAAACGGGCAGCGTGGTGCGGATTGGGGGACGGGGCGGGGCGGCGCGGCACCCCCGACGTGCAGCTCGGGGGCCAGTGGCGCTGAGAGGGGCAGGAACCCGCGCGACTTGCTAGGAGTTCCTGCACCGGGATCCACTCGCGTCTTTACATCCTGTGTGAGGGAGATAAGACCTCACAGCTGTGGTCATTTTGTTCATTGCTCTTAATTCACATTTACCCATCCATATTCGGGGAAATACTGTATTTAAAGCTTGCTTTAAAATGGCATAAAGGTTATAATGGAAAATAAACTATATTTTTAAGAAGGGCACACTCATGAATTTGTCAGAAAACAATCATGCTTCTTAAATATATACCATTATGTTTATTAGTTATGTGCAAGCCTCGTTACAGATTAAATGTGCAAATTTGTTGAAGGCACATACAGCTAAAAGACTTTTATTTTAATAAGCTCAGATATTTTACTATAATCAAACAACGTTCTTCTTTTTTAATCTTCATCCAAGGATATGTTTATTGATGTTAAAGAAACGTGAGAAACAGCGATCCGATCCGTTGCCAGCTGTACCTGCCCTGACCGGGAAGCGAACCCGCCACCTGCTGGTGCACCCGGCTAGGCACGGCCCGCCTTTCTAGTGGAACACACAGTTGTAGTTAGGTCACTAGGACTTAACTGGGCGCTTTCAGTGGCTGCGACAGCTTGAGGGAGAATAGATAAAAGTTCATGACTAGTTGAATTTCTGGTAGTGCATTACTCCTTGCTACATATAGACCAACGGTGGTGGTTCAGGGTGGCACCTTGTCAAATCAATTGCCTCTATGTTAGGAGAAGTAAAAAGCCTAAGGCTGGAGAAGCACCTGATGGGAGGTGACAGTGTAGTCGGCCACCTGGGAACCTGTTATAGAACGCGGGCCGCGTGGGCCGACTTAGGCACTCCCTGTGGCCCTAAGGACAACCTCATCCCCCTCGCAATGGTCAGAGAAGAGAGCCCCGGAGAGTGAGGCACACGCAGAGGGGCTTGACCTGGCAGCCGGCCAGTGAGTGGCCCGGCGGGTTCTAGACCTCGGCGAACCGGTCGGTCAGGCTGCCTGGGGGCCCCGGGAAGAGGCAGCGCGGCCTGCCGCTCCCTGCGGAAGCCTCGCTAGGATCCAGTGGAGCGGCCACGATCTTGAGCGCCCGCGGGCTCCAGTTAAAGGCCGCGTCCGGCCTGGCCCCGCCCCCGCCCGGCGCCGACGGGTTCCCTCCCGCCGCCCGCGGGGCTGCCCCGCCCCGCGCCGCCTCGTTTGCGGGCGCGGCCGCCTTCATTCGCCCGCGACGTGTCGCTCGAGTGACGTCACGGGCCGCGGCTCTTGTCATTGGTCTATTTCAATAGTCGCGGGATACTTGAACTGCAGGACCGGCCGCGGCTCCGGCGGGCTGCTTATTGGGTCTCGGGGTGTCCTTGTCTCTCCACGCCCGGCGGTGCCTGCCCCTTTTGCGGCCTCGCCGGTTCTCAGCGATCCCTGGCGGGAGGGCGGGCGGGCTGGCCCGGGCTGCGGCGGGCGGCTACGACTGGAGCGCTCCTTGGCGCGGCCGGTCGGCGGGACCGAGTGCACGCTGCTTGGCGCCGCAGGCTGATCCCGCCCTGCCCTCCGGAGCAGGGATGTTGGGCAGCTCTGCGGCCCGCGAGGCGGGCTCGGCGCTGCTAACAGTGCAGCAGACGGCACCCCACGAGGACCAGGAGAACATCAACCCCGAGAAGGCGTCGCCCGTCCAGCAGCCCCGGACCCGGGCGGGGCTGGCGGTGCTCAAGGCCGGGAACCAGCGGGGTCCAGCGCCGCCGCAAAGGCCCAAGACGCGAAGGGTAAAGAGAGGGGAAGTTTTGCATGGGTTTAGCAGGCAGAGTTGGGCGAGAAAGCACCTCTGGTCTTTTAGGGAGATCTGGGTCTGGAGCCCCCTTGATCCCTGGTTTTTGGCGTGCTGGGATGGGGTAGTTTCGTCCTCCCATTACTCTCCCTGCCAGCACTGCGTTTGCCGCTTGTCTGCCCTGTTGCGGTTTTTTTCTCTAGATAATGGGGTGAAACCAAGCCCTGCCACATGAGTGTGGTCTTTGCCCGCCTCCGCGCCTTTCTCTTCGCTTTTAAAGCCCAGGCACTGCTTTGGGACCCGGACCTCCTACCGCTTCCCAGTAGAGAGAAGTTAACTCTACTTTAGGAAAGATTACAAAAAATACTTGGCTTTCGGTAAATTCCGCCATTTTACCGGAATTGCTCTGTTGCTCCACCCCAGGATGAAAATGTTTTTGCCATCTCTTTCCTAAACTTGTCATCTTTCGTCTGCTCCATCCCTCTTGTGGCCTTGGTTAGTTTTTCCATAATTCCACTTACTATGACACTCTCCCACCTTCCCACACATGCCTGTGACAAATTGGAACATCCCTTCTTTTCCTTGACTCAAATTTCTTTGCCCCCAAAAGTTAATTTTTCTGATAGAGTAGTTGAGAGTAAAAGCAGAGACTGAGACCCAGAAGGGGAAGAAAGCAAAATCTATTTAATAAGCTCAAAGCCAGTTACTGGTTTCGTTTTAGGCTGCACCCCTTAAGGATCTTAACGTAAATGATGAGCATGTCATTGGTCCTCCCTGGAATGCAAACAGTAAACAGCCTGCTTTTACCATCCATGTGGATGAAGCGGAGGAAGAGACTCAAAAGAGGACAGGTGAATCCAGAAGCACAGAATGTGAAGATGGCCTGGCATTTAATTCAGCTATTGCGTTACCTGAACCAAGAAAACCACTGGTACCTCTTGATTATCCAATGGATGGAAGTTTTGGTAAGTTTTAACAAACATCTGTATTTAATCAGTGTAACCACAATTATTAAATAAGTTGGATTAATGATATTTTGCATGTGCAGGCGTTATCTTGCCCAATCCTTACTATATAATGAGTTAGGTTTAATGTCACATGTTTCAAAGGGTGTGACTTATCTCTGACCCCCACAGCTAGTACAAGACCCAGTGACCTACAAAAGGACCCAAACCCTAACTGGGTACTCTGCCAAGCTCATGAATTTAACTGTATCTCAAACACTGATTCGAATCTGACCCCAGAAATGTTCCCACTGTTGGGAGAGTAATTTCAGCTGGATTCCTCACCAGGACTCCCTGTGCACACCCCCTCATGGAGGGCCCTGTGAGGGTGCAGATTCTGTGTGTGACACCCAACCCTCCCCGGCCTGAGATCCAGCTTCTGTGAAACCAGCCTGAGCAATCCTCGGATACCAGACAGGAACAGGGTCCTCCTGTGAGCCGGGAGTGGAGCCATGGGCACTTGCCCACAGCCGCGCACGAACAGGGGAGCGGCGAGGCAGCCGCGCACAGGCCGGGCTCCCGGCACCTCGGCTCTGGGGCCGCCGCACAGCCCACGACAGCCCATCTCATTTTACTCTGTTGCTGGGGGGTGGGCCGGAAGGAGCAGGAAAGTCCTTTGGCATTAAAATAATTTACGTGTTTTTATTTAAAATTTGCAACAAATTTTAACCTCAAAGTGAACCTTGAAGTGGAAAGAATAATGGATGATGTTTTTACTTCAGAAGATAATTTGAAATCACACAAGATGACACTTGTTGAACGTGGTGTTAGTCCTGCTCAGTCGTTGCCTAGCGTGCGCTTTGACACCGGCTTCGGGGTCTGCGAACTTTCAGGGGAAACCCTAGGTATCACCTCAGAACCTGGGTTCTAACCGTCCTCGTAGAACCGCAGTGTCACTGTCCCATGGAAGGTGAATGCTACTCTAACGTGATACCTGGTCCTCCTCCTCATTTTCCTGTTAGTGGCCTATGAGTATTTTTTCTTGTTAATTAAAATCACTCTAAAGCTAAGTGGACAGAGGTACTGAACACCAGAGTGAAATATTCTATGTAATTTGTCATGGGTGCAATGCATGCTTTGATCGCGCGGGACTCCTGCAAGGACCATCACTTCGGGCTATTAAAAAGATTAAACTGTGACTGTAATCGTACTTTTGAATTCCCGCAGAGTCACCACACACGATGGACATGTCGATCGTACTGGAAGATGAAAAGCCAGTGAACGTGAACGAAGTCCCAGACTACCACGAGGACATTCACACGCACCTTAGGGAGATGGAGGTAAGGGGCCTCAGAACGCACTCGCTGCGCTGCGGTGTGATCCCTGGGGAAATGGGAGTGAGAGGGCGTTTTTAAGGTTTTCACCTGCCGGTCCATCCCTCTACTGCTATGCTTAGGCTCTAGCATATAGCGGGTTTGTTCATGTAGAATAACCTCACCGCAGCGTCTAACGCTATGCTAAGCAGCTTTCTCAACAGATGAGATGTAAGCCTAAAGCGGGCTACATGAAGAAACAGCCGGACATCACCAACAGCATGAGAGCCATCCTCGTGGACTGGCTGGTTGAAGTAGGAGAAGAATATAAACTACAGAATGAGACCCTGCACTTGGCTGTGAACTACATCGATAGGTTCCTTTCATCCATGTCTGTGTTGAGAGGAAAGCTTCAGCTTGTGGGCACTGCTGCCATGCTGTTAGCCTCGTAAGTCGGCTTGGTTTGTTGGCTTAAAAGTGATCAGTGCCTTTCTGTGTGGGGAAGAAACGTGGTTTTTAAGAGTGTGACCTAACGTCACACAAGGCAGAGTCGCCCACCACCTCGGCGGTGACAGGTGTGGAGGAGGCTGTTCTACTTTAGGGCGTAACTTCTCCCGATCTGGGTGCCAGGGTGCCTTGGCGAAGGGGCGTGCAGGCTGGCTACATTTTGACACACTGAGACTAGGTTACCGAGATTGAAAACGTGGTTCCTTCCATTAAAAAAGTGCTTTCCAGCATATGAGCAAAATCTTACCTCCTCCCCATTAAGACATGGAAACTTAATTTTAAAACTTAAACATAAAATGTTTACTTTTCTAAGAAAATGTCCCAAATGTTCAGTTACTTGGCGGACTCGGGCACCGTTCCTGTCCTGGGAAGTGCCGGGCCTCCCGTTTCCTTCCGTTGACTGCACTGGGGGAGGCGTCTCCACGCCCCTTACTGCTCCGGGTGTTCAGGGTGACACTTACCCAGTCTCTGCTGGACACGGTCAGTTCTCAGCGGAAACAGGCCTTTGGAGTGTGTAGGTTTTGGATTCATTGCATGTATTCTGCTAGAGGGGTTTCAGAACTGGGATACTCGCGCATCTCTTTTAGGACTGACAACTTGAAACTTTTTCCATTGCAGAAAGTTTGAAGAAATTTACCCCCCAGAAGTAGCAGAGTTTGTGTACATTACAGATGACACCTACACCAAGAAGCAGGTCCTCAGAATGGAGCACCTCGTCCTCAAAGTCCTCGCTTTTGACCTGGCTGCGCCAACAGTCAATCAGTTCCTCACCCAGTACTTCCTGCACCAGCAGCCTGCGAACTGCAAGGTTGAAAGTTTAGCAATGGTAAGTCCTTTTTATGTTGCTGAAGTAAGGTTCTTCAGGCACCATTAGGGGCAAGCCCCAGTTTTATGATACAGCCTTGGTCAAGGGGTTTAGTGTGTCGGGCAGATTCATGCTGCAGTATGGGAGAAAGCCTACCAGTGACAAAAGATGGTAGAGATTAAAGGCTTGGGACATGCTAGCCAGCACAGTTGTGTTAAAAGTGATTAAAAGAGGGGCCCCGACTCGTGTGGCTCAGTTGGTTGGGCGTCATCCCGCAAAGCAAGAGGTTTGTCGGTTCAGTGCCCGGTCGTAGGTCCAGTCCCCACCTGAACACATGGGAGGCAACCAACGGATGTCTCTCTCCTTCTCTTCCTCCCTCCCTCCTCCTCTCTCAAAAAATCAATAAATAAAATCTTTAAAAAACAAGAAGTTATAAAAAGAGGGAAAACAGGGAGAGGATGGAACAAAACACTGAGATAGTGGACGTGTCTAAACGTGGGGCAGCAGGAGAAAATGAGGTCGGAAGGCGGAGATCTGAGGTCTGAATTCCAGGTCTCGCGGTCACCGAGCGCACCCCTTTCCGTTCCAGTTTCTGGGGGAGCTGAGTCTGATAGACGCTGACCCGTACCTCAAGTACCTGCCCTCAGTCATCGCCGGAGCGGCCTTCCACCTCGCGCTCTACACAGTCACGGGGCAGAGCTGGGTACGTATCGCGGCTTGCACGCGGCCTCGCCACGGCAGCACTGGGGCCAGAGAAGTTCAGTGACTGTCCTATACAGTTGGCAGTTGTCTAGGTGTACTGACCTGGAAGAACGGTTCAATACTGTTTCAGCGTGATAGGCAGAAAGTGTAGTTATCACTCAGATTTGAACGGTGTACTTAAAGAATCCTGGCCGTCCAGCCAGCTGCAGGGAAAGGAGTAACATCGATCCACGCCCGTGGGAGAGGTGGCACGCTGGCCTGAGCCAGCTGGAAGACCCGTTGGTGCTAGTACTGAAGGTTGACAAACTCAAGCTCAGTGCCAACCATTAACCTCAGTGCTGCTCCTACAAGCACCTCCACGGTGTTCTCCCCCTCCCTCCTGGCAGCCTGACTCCTTGGTGCAGAAGACGGGGTACACCCTGGAGAGCCTCAAGCCCTGCCTCCTGGACCTGCACCAGACCTACCTCAGGGCCCCGCAGCACGCCCAGCAGTCGGTCAGAGAGAAGTACAAGCACCCCAAGTAAGACGGGGCCTGGGGGCTTGGGAGAGGCTGGCTTTTCCGGGCTACCGCGCGGTCGGAGGCCCTCGGCGCTTGTGTCCCACCGAAGGGTTCCCGGCAGCCGTCCTTGGAGCAGGCCAGGCGGCTGTGGCGAGCCGCTGTGGGGGGCCGGGGGGAGGATTGGGGCACACTGGTGCTTGGGGACCAGACAACAGCTTCATCCTCCTTTATGTAGCCAGATGGACAGAAACGGCGCCTCGCAATGAAGGTTTCCTGAACACAGGCTTTTCCTTCTCCCAGGTACCACGGCGTGTCCCTCCTTGTCCCGCCGGAGACGCTGCAGGTGTAGCGGCGGGAGGCTGCCCTCGCCACCGGGCCCGACTCCCTCCCTGGACTGGGGCGCGGTTCTCATCCGGGGCCTTTACAGTCACTTCTGAGTGTGAAGTTATCGTCAAGTACAAATTATGGTATCCATTCCTTTTAAAGTGGTTTTAATTTGTATATCTTTTGTACATGTAACTATCTTAGATATATGCCTAATTTTAAGTGGTTTTGTTGAAGTATTAATGATGCCAACTGTCAGGGTAGTAAGAATAAGAATTAATAAATTGATTTAGAAAACTTGGATTTTGTAAGTCAAATTTAATTTGAGGTAAAAATTTGACTTCAGGATTTCACTCGGAAAAATTTCTCCTATGGGGACTAGGAAGACTTCTAAAATATTTAAAAATTTAACTATATTTTATAGTTTCAGGAAAACAGACAATAGTTCTGACATTTTCTTAAGAATCTAGGCCATTTGCTGACTCACATAATCGAGGCCTGTCTGGAATAAATCTGCTTATTTTTGGGTCGTGATGATCCTAGACTCTTTGGGCCCTTTGGACACTCTTAAGAAATGCTTCTTCACTCCTCAACTTTTACACTTTACTAATGGGACAATTATTTAAACCTGTTAAGTTCTCCAGAAGTTTTATTAAAAACAAAATGTAAAAACTATATAAAGAAATGGCTAGATTTTATAATGGATTTGTGAATAAAATACCCACGGTTGCTAGCACTTAAATAAATATCCTTTTAATAATTATATACACAAATACAACCATGTGAGCTTTAATTAGCAGGTCTCTTCTTTTTTCTCTTCTTCACTGGCTTTTTACTTGGTGCTTTTTCTTGTTTTGCACTGATGGTCTGCGTTCTGTGAATGAAGGGAAAGCACAGTTTACTAATAGCGTCAGCACCGCAAGCTGATTCCGTGGGCAACCCCATTGTGACTGTTGGGTTCTGGAACCACAGAACAGGAGGCCTTACCCCGCGCCCCCCCCCCCCCCCGTAGAAAGTAACGTTTGCCGGCTATGAGTAAAATGCAATGGCTTTGAAAGGCATCCAACAAGAAGTTTTACTGATTTAGGTGCTAGTGCTTATAAACCTCAGGCTGAAGACCCCAAAGAGCAGCTAGATTTCTAACGAAAGGTACGTCTCTTTGTTCACAGTGGGGCCAGATGAGAATAGGGCCAGAGGAAGGAACCAGAAGTCGTTACCTTACTTTCCTCGGACTCTTGCCTGGTTCTAGGATGATCATGTCCTCCTCTTCACTGTCCGACAGCACTATGGGGGCATCTTTAGGGGGACATTCAGAAAGCAGCGTAAGCACAGGCAGGCCTCGCTCGCTGTGCCTCGAAGATCATTTGTTTTCCACAAACTGAAGGTCTGTGGCAGCCCCAAGTTGGGCAACTCAGTTCTATCAGCAGTGTTTTTCCAACCGGCTCGGGTGATGGCTAGCGTTTCTTTGCAGTAAGGTATTGTTTCAGTAAGGTGTATGCGGTTTAATTGACTGGGAAGCCAAAAAACGTGGGCCGCGCCGCGCCGCGAGGGTCTGGCTGCGAACCCGCGGCATCTCTGAGGGTGGCTTCCGTTCTCTGCGGAAGTTTCCTCTCTGGTTTCCAGGTGGCACCTCGAAACCGCATCTCCTACTACGAACGGCCCAGGCCGCTCCGGGTGCAGGCTGACAGGACGCCTTGCTTCCTCCCTTCCCTCACGGAGCCCGAAGCCCTGGCACAGCATGGGCTTTATTCCCCAAACGCTCCCGGACCACGCCATCGTTCGGTCGCATCCCAACAGAAGGCAGGGGACCTCCACACTTCGCAGACAGACGACACGCAGCCCCTCGCAGGGCCAGCGTGGGGACCGGATGGCACGCCGCCCTCGGAGGTGCCACCGTCTATCTGGAAGGGGCCCATTCTGAACATCGAAATTTTAATTTACCCTATTATAAGCAACACTGGAAAGAAAATGCCTAGAAACAATGATTCACATTGCTTCTAGGTCAGTGCGCACATACATTCTGAAAGATTTTTGTTAACTCCCCCCAGAATTACTGTTCCAACTTACACTCCCAGAAACAGGAGAGGAGGAAACCCCTCTGCCACACAGCCTTGCCAGTGCCGGGGTCTGCAGTTGAGAATTACTTTGTATCTTTTGCTCACTTCTCTCTTGAGCCTTCACTAATGATATGTAATGTGAATTAACCCTTTCCTCCGTTGGTTGTTGGTTTATCAGTTTATATTTTGAGTTCTCAATTAGTTTCTACCTTTGTTCATGTGCTTTAGAAAGACTATACCAATTATCTTAGGCCCACCATTACTATTTAGTTGAAATTACTCCTCTTCACATTAATAGAAGATCCTAGCTATTAACCTTATTAAGCTTAGAAAAACAGCTCACAAATACGTAAGGGGCACATGCGAGGCTGCTCACTGGCATGGAAATAGTGGGAAAGTGTTGTCAACATACAGTTACTGTCAATAAGGGAATGACTGAACCAGCGAGGGCCATCCAACACGCCAGGATGCTGTGAAGCATTTACAGACAGGCTGACGTGCATGTGACCCCACAACAAGCCTGCAGCTTCACTTAGGGTGAGGGCACACACGGACCAAGACCAGGAAGAGTGATGTCCAGCAGAGCGACCTGGGAAGGCAGCGAAGGTCCCGACCCGTGGGGCTGTTTTCGTACAGGAGGCCCCGCGGGCTCAGCCACGCTCACCGGCGAGTCTCGCCTCCTCCTGGCAGGCAGCCTTGGGCGGCGCACGGACTCCGGGGCGCTCCCGGCCCCGCGCCCCGCGCCCCCCTGCAGTTGCTGTTCCCGCTGCACAACCCACCACCCACGATCCGTTCCCAGCACGGACCAAGCACAACACTGGCCTGCTTAAAAGAAAACGTCCACAGGCACAAGCGGTTTCTCCAGCACTACGGCCTTCACAATGCCAGGGACACCCAGAACCACCCGTATTCCAGGTAATTCCAGCTTGGTACTGATACCACTCTCACGTGGTGGCCACATGACGCTACTTAACTTTTATGTTAACCAGAGTTAAGGTTCAGGGTCCAGTTCTCAGTCACACAACCCACATGTCAAGTGCTCAACAACTGCACGTGGCTAGCGGCGCTGTGCTAGGGCACACAGGAACCGGACGTTTCTGATTCGCGGAAAGCGCTACTCAAGAGCACAATTCTATAATGTATGTTACGTTTCCGTCTAGAAACCACGTCAAGAAAACAGCACGCAGGGGTAAGACCTTTAAGGAACCTCCCTGTGATCCAGACAGACATATATAAAAGAGAACGAAACATTTTTCAATTGAAAATGCGACTCTGCACACACACCACAGAGCTGCCGCTGCCCCACAAAAGGTAAGCGTGGTCACTGGAGTGAAGAGTGCACGTGGCTTCAACAGTTCAGGTCAAATTTAAATCAAAATATTTCACCCCTCTAAAAAGAGGAAGTACTAATATATAAAAATAAGGTCCCTATTTTAGGGACATCTATAAACAGGGCTAGAACATATCTACATATGAAGCATATATAACTTATGCCTGTACATGTATGTAATATAAAGCGTATAATGCATAACAAAGCCACGAAGCAGCGCCTACCCCGGCTGCCAGCGCTGGGGACGTCCACGTCCGTGGCCACTCTCACGCTGTCGAGGACGATGGCTTCGTCACTGCCTCCTCCCTCCTCTTCCTTCTCAGAGTCTTCCAGGTCGCCCCAGGAATTTTCTATTCCTTCTCCAATCTGGGCGGTGCCCGGGGTCCAGAGCACAGGGTTAGATACACTTGCCGGTTAAGGAAGCGGAGCGACAGGCAAGGCCGCCGGGCGCGGCACCGACAGAGAAGGGGTGGAAGGGCTCTCCCTTCAAGGCCGGAGCGAGCCTCAAACTCCCGAGGAAACGGACTAAGAGCTACACTGAGGACACTGCACAGCGAGGAAAAGTAAAACGTCTCGCCTCCAGCGGGGCTTCCACGGGCATGTGGTGAGGAAGCGCGTGAATAGGACAGGGACAGATTCGGTGAAGGAAGGAAAAATGTCGAAAACATCATGTGCTAGTGGATGGAAGGCTTGACCATGCTGCTGAAATTAAAGAACCATTTTCCAAGGGAAAATGAGATGCTCTAAATTGGTTCTTAACCTAAGCACGTGCAGGGCTCCGCAGGACGGCTGGAGAGGAGGTGGGCGTCACACCACCTGGTAGCCCCAGCGTTCCCTCTCAGGAAGCGCAGCGCTTCAGAAGACAAATTTCAGCGCGCGCACCCTGCACATGCGCCTAACAAATGCCACAGTGCTCTCAGTCTTGTTACGGGGAAGAGACAACAAACAAACAAACAAAACAGGCCCAGCTGAGGATACACTTCAGGAGGCGGCGCAGCTTCCGCGATGATTTCCTCTGCTTTCTCCTCCACGTCCGACGTGTCCACAGGGGCCTTCTCCATCCTAAACGCCGTGATCCTGTGATTTGCTATAGACTCCGCAAAGCCAAACTTCCCCCCTTCTTTCCTGCGTGGGGTTTTTGGGAGGGAGGGTAGTGGGGGGGGGGGAATGGGGTAGACAGCAGATGGAAAAGAAGACAAGTGAAAAGGTTAACTTCTGATGGATGAGAAATACTGGAATAGCTATTTGACTAAGGTACCTTCACCAGCGTCTGACACCTGTCGAGAGGAGTAACACCAGGCCCCCCTCGTCGCCATTTACTGGCCCAGGCACTCGCACTGCTCGGCACCCACAGCCCATCGCTCTCCAGCCCTCTGGCCAGCCGCGTGGGCCCGCGCCCGCCTCCCAGCGACAGAGACGCCGCCTGCTGGGCCACAGGCCCTGCTTCCTGGCACGTGCTGAGGCGGCGGAGCAGCCCGGTTTGTGTCCTTTTTTGCTAATGTGAGTTACCAGATTCTTTTTTCCTAAGAAAATGTTTAACTTTTTTTTTTAAGAAAAATACTATGTGGCTTTTCAATACAGATTGTTTAAATTGGAATACACAACTGGTTCACTCAACTTTCCAAAAACATCGGGTAGAGTCGACTGAAATTAACAAGAAAAGATCCAACTGTGTGGTTACCCTGGGGCAAGAAGGATCCTTAACAGAAAAATCTATAAAAACACCATTTAGTTCTAACAATATTAAACCTACCTCACTTTCTCGTCATTCTCCAAAGCCTTCTGTATTAGCTCTGTAATTTCTGCCACTTTCACGCCAGCGATTTTACTGCACCTCAAAACCTATTTATAATAATGAATTGTTATTTAAAGACATTGAATAAAGAAATTCAAGGTTTTCTCTAACAAAACCAAGAACACGAGATTAGTTTTTCTAACTTTGTAATTTAAGCCTGACTTTTTTTCAAATATGAAGTTAATACAATGTAAACACAAAGCAAATTGTGAGAGTTGTTTCAAAACATCCGAAGGACAAGCAGGTTAAGGGAACAGCCCTGGAAACGTGCTTGTTACGCTACGGAGCAGCCGTGAAGAGGCCCCAGGCCCGCACCGCAGGCTCAGGGCGCCCGACCTCCTCCCGGGCATGGGCCCCAGCCCCGGCCCAGCCCCGGCCCAGCGGGGCTGCAGAGCACCCGGGAGCTTTCAGGAAGCAAGTGTCCGTCCTCGGGCTTCAGAGGCCAAAGGACCGGTCCCTCCGGGAACAGGGACCTGGGAGGGGCACGATGCCGGCAGAGATGGGCGCCACACAAAGCCTGGCTCTACTGCGCACTTGACACAAGCTGTGCGGTGCCACCCAGCAGCTTGTCCTGTGCTCTGCTAACACGGTCTCGACAGTCATGTTGCCCCTATTTCACAGATAAAGAAACTGAGGCGTGGAAACGGAAATCACTGGCCAAAGGTGAGTCAGCACAACACAGCGCCGGGACCCCACCTGAAGCGGCCCGTGCACCGGGGCGGCTGCCACGCGTGGCGCCCGGTGGCCTGTTTCTGGCCCCATGTCAATCCAACACGTAGCTGGGTTTGAGGGCTGCTTACTGTACCAAAATTCTAAAAGATATCTTTTAACCTCATTTCTATCTTTGACCCCTTTCTGTGGGGAGAGACATCTGAGTCTCTTCTTTCTCTGGAAAGTACAAAGTGCCCCTCCACCTGGAAGGGTCCAACTCTGAAGGGCCCCACTGGGGTCAGCAGGAAGGGAGGAAGACACCTCGTGGCCACCAGTCAGCAGGCCAATGACAGTCCTGAAGCCGGACTCTAACACATCCCAGAATCAGACACTGGAAATACCCTTGTTGGACGTTAGTCACAAAGAAAGAACAGGCTTCTGGGAGAAGAGACTGCTGGCCACGGGCCGGAGCACAGCACGGACCTGCTCGTTCAGCAGCATGATCCCGCCGCTGGACTGGAGGGTGCAGATCTCGCGGTGCTTGTTCATGGCGATGACCAGCAGGCCGTCCATGACGCGCTCCTCGCGCTCGCTGGGGTCCACCAACAGAAAGGTGCTGGAAGGAACATGCGGCGGGCCTGAGCACCTGGGGCCGGGCGCCCGTCCGCCTCCCACCAACGGGTGCCCCTCAGGGATGGCATTAACAGGGTCCACAGAGTGACGGTCTCAGCCTGGGGGTGTGAGTCACTTTCATGGGAAAAGATACAAGGGAATGTTTGGTCTTATGGCCACGAAATAATGCTAAGTGGATATTGTGAGTTACTGCACCAAAATCACATTAAGTTCCTAACAGTTTTATTTAAATGATATGTAATTAAAACCTGATGCTATCGCTTTGATTAAATAACCTGTGGCTCATTAATAAAGATGACTTGATTAATTTAAGTCTCCTTAGTGACCTGTCCTCGGAAGCTCTTCCAGGTTCTCCTAGTGGCTCACGTAACAAACGCTGTGTTTCGGCCCTGTCGCCTGGCAGCCTCCAGCCCCACGAGGCTACTGAGCCCCAGGACGTGGCCGGCCCACACAGACACGTTCTGTGCGTGTGCAACACTGGGTCCCCAAGATGCAGTAGGAATAGAGAAAGTAAAGCATTTCATGCATAATTTTTTTAAGACATTGATTACATATTAAAATATCTTAGATATATTAGGTAAAATACGTAAAACTTAAATGTACCCGATTCCTTTTACCTTTTTAATGTCTGGGAAATTTTAATTACAAACATGGCTCATGTACTTCTGCCTGCCAGTGCTGGCCTAGTTTCCTCTAATGCAATTCTGCCCTACAATGACTGAATGTTGAAAGCTTTTCCCTAGTTCTTATTCATAAAACTGTTCCAACATCTCATCTGTGCCTCCCTCTGTTTCTAAAATGGTGCAAGGCTCCAGCTCCTCCCTGCAGGACCATGCTGGGGACCGGGGACCAGGGACCAGGGACCAGGGACCAGGGACTGGGTCGCTGCAGCAGGAGGGATCAGCTGAGAACCGTGAGGAAACGGCCGGAGGCCGACAGCTCCACCACACCTCCTGCCGTGAAGTGTCCCCCGTGACGGCTCCCAGGCTACTGCAGCTCCCGCGCTTCAGGTCCTGCCTCCATCTATCCGCAGTAGTTCCCACTCCCCCTTCCCAAAATGGACCCCGACACGCAAGTCTCTTAACACCTGCAAATCGAGAGATGTGGCAAGATCACACACCACCACGCGGCAGTAAATTCATGAATTTATGATGTGCCTTGAAAAGACACAGGTGGAGTCCCTAAATTACAGAGTTTGTCATGTCTATCGAGAAAGCTCTTCGCCAACTAAAGCCCTTACAAAGGAAGGGCTAAAATTATAAATGCAAAGCTCTTCTCTGAACCATGAGCAGCTGGAGTATTACCGGAGGGCTTGTTCACCTGCCCGGGTGTCGCGGGAAACAGCCCCACTCCCGGCGGCCCCGCCCGCTCCAGTCGGGGCCAGGATGAGACTCACCCTTGCTGGAAGAAGGCAAAGCTGACGCAAATGGGCATGTGGTGGATGCTCAACGGCACGGGGGCCCGCTCCTCTGGAGTGTACTGTTAGAAAACAAAAGACAGGAGCTGCAAAAGCAATCACCCTGCACATCAAGTATTGAAGTACAAGATGACGTTCCTTGAGTCCTCAGTGAGTACCTAAATCGCTTCTTTCATAATTACCTATCTGACTTTGCCATTCATGTGCCTTTTAACTTTATGCATTTGTCAAGCGCTGTATTGAGAGAGACTGTACACACTGTAAGATCCACGCATTTTTAGTGCATTTGCAATACATTTATGGTTATGTAACTATCACCACAATCCAGTTTAACATTCCCATAACCCCCCCCTGCACCGCCCCCCCCACTTCCCTTGAGCCTGCTGCAGTCCGCCCTCACTTCCGGCCCCAGGCAGCACGGGCGGACTGCCCGCTCTGTAAACCTGCCTTTTCTGGGCACCGCACAGAAGTGGAGTCAAACCATTTTCAGCCTTTCACATCAGCCTCCTTTCAGCTTAGGACGCGTCATCCACCCTGCGGTGCGTGTCAGCAGTCCGGCTGGGCTCACCGCTGAGCTGCCTTCCGTGGCACGGACAGGCCATCCGGTTCTCCCATTCCCCAGCTGATAAACTGGACTGCTGCCAGTTTTTGGCCATTACAAATACACTATGAACAGTCACGTAAAAGTCTTTTGAGTGAGTGTATACTTTCATTCTTGAGTATGGAATGAAATACCTAGGATTCCATACCTAGCAATTTACTTTCGTTCTAGGTATGGAGTTTCTGGGCTGTAAACATTTACACTCAGCTTTTTCAGAAACTGCCAGGCTGTACCATTTTACAAAATACCATTTTACATTAGCACCAGCAGTAACTCCCAAGTGTTTTTTTTAACTGATACCTTTTTGTGTGTACTAATCACTCTCTACTTGTTTTTACTTCCTTACACCATCTGCCTTCTCTAAAAGGACATGTCTCCACTGTTGAAAAAGAAACCTGGGTCCCAACCTCTGAGTCTTTAAAAAGAGGCTGCTCCAGTCTGATGCCTAAAAGCAGCGCCCTCACTGGCTGCTCAGAGAACTTTACAGGAGATTTAAGAGACTTCAAAGACAACTCCGACCACCTGTAGTTTCTGCCTTGTGAACAAACTGTAGAACACACCTAACTTCCAGACAGTGAGACTCCCCCAGTAACAAGCTCATTCACCCACAGAGAGGTGCACGGCTCACGTCACGGGAGCCCACTCACCAGCGTGACTTCATCTCCTTGCACAGAGACGTCAGGTCTTCGGAAGTGACACAAGGCTACGATTGCAGCAATGCTGGCAGCATCAATAATATTCCCATCGTGGTTTAGTAAGTGTAGGTCCACACGTATTTGCCAAACCTGAATGCGAATTTAAAGCAAAAGTCAGTCCTACTGATCACGACTACTGGCTATTTAAAAGGAAAAGTAACACTATGTGCCAATTTTTCTCTGGCTGTTAAAATGTGGTTACTCCTTCTCTTGTTATCAATAAAACTCTACTTAGAAAAATGCTAAGCCAGACCAACAGCTGAAATACCAACAGCAGAGTCATTTGACAACAGTAAAATATATGCTCTAAATACGTAGAACCATTTTATATTTAATACTAACATTTCCCTAACTCCAAGCATTTATGATAATTTTACAAGTAAAACAAGACGTGCAAATAGGAAGCTTCACTTTCAAGCATGGAATGGGGAACAGCTGAGTGACTGTTCTGGAGTCAAAAACAATGGTCAAAATGCCCTCATCCAGAATAAAGTTCTGCTATTTTCAGGCTGAACAGTTTACAGAGAGTAAGATTTGCAATGTCAGCCTACCCCTGACTCATTGTGCAGTGCTATGGAAGTCAATAAACCCATCCAAATGAAGGATTTAATCCATTCTTCAGTTTGACATCCACAGAAAAAGAAAATATTACCTGTGTCTATCAACTCACTTAAATAACATAAGACAATAAACAAAAATATATGAAAAACCACAAGTTCTTTGAGTAAGACATTTTAACAAAAATGCAAGTTGTTATTTTCACAATGTTTTTTGTCCCTCTTCAGAGCAATGACATGAAGTGCTATGGGTGGCACTCAGGAACATCTGAAGTGAAGTGAGCCAGTGTGGAAATGAATTAAGCTTTGAGAATTAATGGGCAGATACAGGGATCCATGAACCAACAATATTCATCCTAAGATTAAGAACTCTGGGCACATTCCCCACCTTTTCACCAGCAACAACACAGAGAGATTCAGTGTCTATACACTTCGAATTTCTTAGACATCTTTCCAAGAGGCGATTCAACTTCACCAAGAGATCTGACTGCCTATGAAAATAGGAACGGGCTAATGTCATGAACTGTAACACCAGGCATTAAAACAATACCTCGCTGCAGTTACATTCTCCTCTGGTTAAAGCAGCTAGTTTAAGAAGATTTAAATACCTGCCAGGTTCAAAAGCCGGGGCAGCCATCTGAGAGAGTTCAAGGTTAAAAAATAGAATACCTTCTGTTGCCCTATTGAGTTTTGGAGAAACAAGTTCACAGGAAACCTGTCCAAGAACTCTGCAAAGATAAAGTGCAAATCTGTTGGCTATATACAGTTCCTTTCCAATTAAAAAACAAAACAAAAACTAATTACATTTCAACCTTACTCTGAGTAATAAGACAAAGACACTCAGCACGATGTATCATTAGAGGCTGCTATTATATATGAAGTAGAGTAAAATATATACAGGAATAAAATACATGGCATATCCAAAGAGATGACAAGAAAAAAATCTTATACTTACAATACTAATTATTCTGTAGATCCTTAAAAAAAAAAATTAATGACCTCAACTTTTCTTTTCTAAAACAAGTATCTATTGATACAAGAGAGCATGAAAACTCGAGATTTTTTCGGAGTTTTCCTTGGCATGGTTCACTGACACTATCAGACCAATATCTTCACGACTTCCAAATGGATATTAAAAACCAAATCCTCACATGACTCAAGAGGTAAGTAGCGTCTATTCACTGACAGGACATGCAGAAAAATTTAGTGCAATCAAGAACTATGTGATACCCATGTGACAGAAAATATACTTCTGATTAAAAATGTAAAGTGTTAACTACAAAACAAAAGAATCTTGCATTAAAGAAACGATACTTCTTTTTGGCAGCGAAACAAAGTACCGTGCAGACTTCCTAGCTGCTCTGTATACAACTGAGCCATTAGGTTCTGGAAAAGGTCCCCGCGCTGAGCTTCTATCCAGTTCGAATCTTTTGTTACCTTGTTTTCCCAAGCTCCACAATACAGCACCCGTAATCTGTTCCAAACGAGATCTTGATGCTCCTGTAGTCATAGGTTTGCCTGCCATCCAGGCGCTGTAAGCACAACAGTCACTCGCTCACTCCTTCAACAGCGGGCAGAGAGCAGCCGCTCTGGGCCGGGCCCTGGGCGCCCACCCACCCCCACTGGCAAGTGCGAACTGGGAGCCGGGGCGCTGGCAGTGGCTGGGGTGACTCGAGCCTTGACGAGAACACACTGGAGCCAAATAAAACCTGGGGGGCTGGGGACGCAGCAGCCGCCCCGCAGGGGTTCCCGGGGCCAGCGAGGGGCCAGCGAGGGCCCAGCCAGGAAGCTGCGGGCGGCCGGGCCACCCGAGGGCCCACGCACCCCCAAGGGCCCGGGGCCGTGTACCTTCTTCTCCTCGATAGCGCGGAGGAGGAAGCGGCGCTCGCAGTTGGAAAGCGGTGTCTCCTTCATGTTGGCAGTCCCGGGACCCACGGACAGCGTAACCCGTGGGAAAGAAACCCGAGCCTCTCCACGCGCGCCCCGGTCGCTGGCGGCGCAGGCGCTTACGTCATCAAGGCTCGACGGCGGGACTTGCGGAGGCCGCGGCGGCGCGGCGCTACTGCGCAGGCTCGGAGCGAGGCCGGCGCCGGCGGGAGTGGCCGGGCGAAAGCCGGCGGCTACGCGAGGCGCGTTTCCGAATCCAAATACCTATCTCTTTTACCTGAAAACGTAGCGGTGGAGGGGACCCCAAAAATAAGCAATAGAGGTAGAGATTAACTTCAGTGTCGAGCTGTCACACCGCACCCTTCCCTCAGTCGTAGCGGGGCGGGCTGGACAGGGGTGCCTGCCGCCTTGCAGGTGGGGCAGGTCAGGGTGGCCGCTCGGGCGCCGGGGGGCCGCGCGCGCGGCAGGTGCGGTGCAGGAACACCGGCAGGAGCGGGCGGAGGTGGAGAGTGGGGCACACGGAAGGTGAGCTGGGGTGCAACCTCGGAGACCTGAGACGGCGACAGGCGCTGAGAATGCCCCTCTGTCGTAACGAGTAGTGTCGTAACTACCCTCGGGAACAAAATGTGCTGTCACGCCTTTCCGTCCCTCCGTTAGGTTAAACCGGTGGACGGACTTTTATGGGCATGAAGGAACCTTGGTGTGTCGGTGCTGCCACTCAGTCGGCTCCTTTTTCTTTCTTTTTTTTTTTTTTTTTTTTTTTTTTTGAGCTGCAGCATCAATCATTATTAAAAGCAAGAGCTCGGGCCACCTGGGTTCGGATTTGATCCTGCCATTGGCTCGCGCTCGGCCCTGGCCAAGTTAGCCCACGTGCTTCCCTGTCCTCCTCTGCAGGATGGGAGTGACGGACGTGCATGTTATCACGAGGGGTAGAGACGAGTGAACGCCTGTGAAATGCTTGGAGCAGAGCCGGGCGTGGTGTGAGCATTAGGAACGAAGTGTTTGCGCGGTATTTTGCTTCCATTTGCTGCGGGGGTGAACGGCCGTGAACGCCCACACAGGCTCCATTCCGTCTCTTTGGTCTCTCTTCACTTTTTTTCCTACCGCGGATACAGTGTAATCTCACTTTGTGCTGTTTACAATTCATGAACTCGATAAACTCCCCACATATTTGTGAGGGCCTCCTGCGTCCTAAGAATAATTCAAGGGCTGGAGAAACCGGGTGGACAAGATCCTGTTCCTCAAGAAATTTATATTCTCTTTGGAGGAAATAAGTGGTAGAAACAAAAGAATAACACAAGTCACAAGCTGAGAGCTATCTGAGAATAGGGGTGCTATTTTAGGAGGGGTATTTGCAGGAAGGGCCCACTCTGTGGAGGTGACATTTCAGTAGCTGGATCCTCAGTGATGAGCCGCCGCAGTAGCATCTGGAGGAGCTGGAAAGTGTTTCGAGCAGAAGACACCACATGAGCCAAGGCTGAGACAGGCGCTGCTGCGAAGGCGGAACAGGGGCAGAAATGAGGTCCACAGGTTTGGATCGCTGGCTGATTCTCAGAAGAAGCAAGGGGATTGCAGGCTCCAGGGCATTAAAGTTCTCTAAACGGCATATGTTCATGTTTATAGTTCAGTTTCACAACAGAACTGGCAAAGTTCATCATGTAAACCTTGGGTTCTTTTAGTGGGTGTTTAGTAACTTCTCTTTCCCTTCAGAAATGAAATAGACCTTTACCGAGACAGGCTGTCCTGTCCTGGGAGGCAGCCTGGGTGTGGAGGAAGAATGGACTCTTTTGGCTTCAGATGGACTTTGGGTGAGTTACGTAATTCTGAGCTTCAGCTTCTGTATCTTTAGTTTGGAAATAATACACAGTTTGTGTTAAGTGGTCAGACTAAAAGCCCCTCACACAATGTTCTGGACACAACAGCTATTCAGTGTTAGTTTCCTTCCCTTTTTGGCTGGACAGGGCTTCCCGTGAAACTACCTCGGTTCGCCGGGGCAGCGTGCTCTCCGGGGTGGACGCGTGGTTACCTTGCCCTGTCTTTCCTTCCACTTCTGCAGAATTTCCACTGTTTCTTCCTCCTTCCGCTGTTATGTTGTTGTAACTTCAACACTGCAGCATTTGCTCTCGTTCAGGATAATCTGGGGGTGTCTAACCCATCCTTACTCCCATGTACACACCATCTTAAAATAGATGTACGTCAGGAAACTTTGAAGCACTGAAGGGACCTTTGTTTTATGCCAACAAGGGGGAAGCCTCTGAAGACTGCGGGGCCGTTCAGGCGATGCTGTGCAGTCTGCTCTTTAAAAGACTCAGCTTGAAGTAGGGCGTTAACCTGGATGACCTGCCTAAATGGAGCCTGGTTTTCTGCAAAACATTTGAGTATTCGCTCCTCTTTAGTGGACATCTGCTGCTTTGTCCTCGCCCAGCGCCCTTCTGTTTCTGCGGGAAATGTCCTTTCCCTGACCCCCAGGGATTCCCACGTCACTGTTAACAGCGGACGTGGGTGTGGCTGGGCCTTGCTCCCATGGCCCCGGTCCTCTCGCCTCACTGCCTCTTCACCCAGGCAGGGCCACACGGAGTCCTTCCGGCGGTCTTGACCCTGAACTCTGGGAGAGAAGAGCTCTTTCCTTCTCCAGGATGGCCCGCCCTGAGGGCCAGGCAAGTCGGGAACTGTCAGGGGCCACCCTGCCATCGCGTGGAGAGAACCTGTTTGAGCTTGAGGTCCGACCAAGGCAGCAGAACTGAGAAATAAAGGAGACAAGTGGAGCGCTTAGGTATACTCCACAGGGGTGCCGATGGTGGGTTCTGACGCTGGCTCCGCCTTTTTGAACTGTATTGTTTGGTTTTTAGTGTACCTCAAGATTTTTTGTTGAAACCACACCTCGTGTACAGGATAAAAGGAACTGGGTGACGTGGGCCCTTAGCTGTAAGATTTGCTCTCAGGCATTCGGTGAGCCTGAGCCCCGGGGCTGGGACTTTTACAAGTGGCTCTCAGTCTCCTGCCCCAGCCTCCGGAGGGTGAGACAGGAAGTCTGGGGGCGCAGGGTGGGTGGGGATGGGCCGGGTCTCCCCCTTCCTCCAGGACAGGTGGGCTCTCGTAAAGCCCCCGCCTGTTAAGCAGCGGGCTCTGGAGGAATCGATTCTCTTGAGGGCAGGTCTCGTTAAGAGGAACAGAGTGTTCTGGCCCTATATCAAGACAGATGCATCCCCCACCTTTGCGAGAAACGAGGGGAGGTGTTTCCCCCCGGGCTTCGCTGCAAGAGGCTGGCAGGGCTTCTGGGGGTGAGGCTCGCCTTTCAGTGCCCCCGGCTGGAGCTCTCACTCTCAGGCTTCTCTGCACGGAGCCTCCAGTGGCTGCTCCGTTGCCGCTTGGCTTTCCTACCCCAATGGTGCCTGGAGAGCTTTCTGTGCGTGAGCCTCTGCCCTGCTGAGTGCAGAGCCGCTGGTTTTCAGTTTGCTCATCCTGGGCGTGTGTGCGGACAGCAGTCCCGGTCCCGAGCTGACTGCGTGCTGGGCCAGAAACCGGAAGTCGCAGGAAGTGAAAATGGAGCCAGGTTCTCTCTCTTGACAAACGTGTGTGACGCTGACTACCTGTCAGACCCCATCTCAAGTGCCTAAGAACATTAACCCTAATAATTGCCCTACAGGGGAGGCAAAGCGGTTGTTTTACAGATGGGAAAACCCAGGCACAGAGAGGCCGAGCCACCTGCAGTGGGTCATACAGCTGGGAAGTCACAGGAGCGGGCCTCGTGCCCAGGAGGTCGGTCTCAGGACCATATCCAGGGTGAGGCCGAGAAGGGGAGGGGACTAGAGTCAACAGGGCTGCCATAGGTTTACCCGGTGACAGGTGATCACTGGAGTTAGTGGGGCGGTCACATCACAAGGTGCGAAAGTGTCCAACCACTGTATTGTACACCTGAAACTAATAACTGTGTTGCACACCAACTGTACTTAAAATAATTTTATAAAGAGACTGTAGTCATACCCAGTACACTGTGCTGCCTCATAGACAGGAGTTCGCTCGGATGCCAAGTGGGTGGCCTGCGCCTGAACCCTGAGCCAGTTCTCTCCCTTTCGCTGCACAGATCTTTGCTTCCTCTCTTGACTGCTTTGCAGTGGACACTTGTACAGAAAAGACAGTCACTGTTACTAGATTAGCCAACCTCAGTCTCTCGTGCTGAGACTTAGCAGGCAAGTAGCTGTGCACGGGTGAAGCAGGGCTCGCTAATGCAAAGAGACGCCAGAGGGCCGCCTGGAACCCCAAAGCTCTGGCGCAGGCGGGAGTCAGGTGACTTTCTCCAGGTCACACAGCCATTTAAGTGATGCTGTCAGGATTTGAACGGATGCTGTCTGGTTCCACGTCTGTGTGCTTAAGCCACACTCTCGACTGCCTCTTGATAATGACAGTTTCTACCTCATAGGTAGAACTATATTAAAAGAGGCGGTTATAACCCTCAGCATAGAGCAAGATGCAAAGTAAGAGCTCCATAAACGTTTGTTGAATGATTGACTCTGCAAAGTCGTAGTAAATTATATCAGAGTAAATAGAATGCCTGCATACTCTATTATGGCTAAATAATTAAGTTACGTTTCACCTTTTTAAGTCCCTGTGTATATTACATCAGCTTTGTAATCTGTTAGTCTAAAGACCTGTCGATGACCTATGTTGATAGGACACTGGATTACCTGGCGAAATTTGTTGGTACCAAGCCTGTGCTGGCTCCTGATGGTCACCTTCACATTTCTAAATGCTCACAGACCATCTGTTTGAGGATCTGTTTCAGAATTTTGCTCGCAATCAGTGTCAGGCTCATCATTTACATCTTTGCATTTTTGGAATTTGGGGAATTTCTAGTTCTCTTCAGGATGAAAATGCGTTCATTGGTTGATTCTTGCATGTGCCCTGACCAGAAACCCAACCCGCAACCTTGGTGTGTCTGAACAACACTCTAACCAACCGGGCCACCGAACCAGCCAGTTTCGGTTTTTATCAAAGTGCTGGGCTGAGTGCACTATATTCAAAAAGCATTTGAATCACAGCCAGCAGCTCCTATTTCAAACCCGTAATTGTATCCAATTGTGAGGCTGATCCAGGATAAAGTTAGATTACTCATCTGTTAGAGGAAATTTAGGTAGGATATGAGTCATGTACTGACATTCTTGTGCTATCTAAATAATTCTATTTTTTTTTAACTAAACCATATGTTTTAAAGGTGTGAAAAAAAATAAAATGTAAAACTTTTGTGCATCAAAACCCTGAACCAATCAGACCTTTTATCCATTTGCATTTCTGAGTTATACTTGGACTTTGAAATAGGTCAGTCATTTTCTTTGCAGTAAACCTTTCTCACTGCATTTTTCCTTAATAAATAATGTCTGATCACTTAGATATAGCAAGGAGATTAAGCTGCATGTGCTTTTCTTTTGTTCTCTGTCCAGATGGTACTGCCTAAAGCCAAAGGTAGCAGTAAAAGTTTTGAAACAGTAAAATGCATAGTCCACAATCCCCCTTCCTAAATTGTCGAAGGTCCATTGTA